GGGCATAGGGGTGGGGCTCTGTTTGAAGTTTGTTCTTGCTATATCTTAATTACTGGATGGATCTTTCTGAAATTTCATATGTACTTACAGCATCTACCATGGAGTGCTATATTTTTACTTCAGGCCAAAAAAAAAGGTGTCTGTCTAGGGTTCCCGACTGACCCTAGCTTTTTACCACGACCCAAAATTTTTTGATGAAAAAAAAATTTGTTTTTTAAAAACCCGCTGATTTTCGAATTTTAGAAGGTTCCTTGCCTTTCAAAATGGCTTCCAGCTCCGTGTTGGCGCTAAATGTCATCATATTGAGCACAATTTGCCTCCAAATGAATCTTGTTTATGTAATAGTAGGGTCATAATCACATGACCAAAAATATACAAACAAAAAAAAATAAAAAAATCTGTCCTACCTACCCTAGTTTTTTTGCCAATGCAACCCTAAACAGACTATATTTTTTTTTGGCCTCATACCAATTATTTTAAACAATTTTCAGGTGAGCAATACAGGCCCTCTGGGCCTCTTGTTCTTTGATGTGATTTCAGACTCGGTATCAGCAACATCTGACAACACATGCTTAATCTGGATCAGTTTATATGAAAGTAAATCAAAATTGCATGGAAACTACATGGTACAGCCTTATTAAGACCACATCCATTTATAAGGACATATGTATTATATTAATTCCAATTTACGGTAAACCTTCGGTCAGTTCGAACAAAATTAAATAAATATTGATGAACCTGTTCGGATTATACAAAATTATGCTTCAGAAAATAAGCGTGAGTTCGAACTATCGGCAAAAATTTCGGCAAAGTGCAAATCAAGTCACAAACATATACCCGACATATTTTCTTCACCGGAGTATACCTCTATATATCCAATGTAAGGTGATACGTAACAACGACGGCCTGGCATAGAACAATGGCACATTTATAAATGGGTAAAATGATAGTATATTATTTAATTCAATGTTAATTGATCATTAAACTTTCTTCATTTCGTGATTATTATGATCGTTATTGCGAAGCAGAGGCCCTTGTGTAGGCCCCGAAACAGTACACGTTTCATTTGTGACACAAAAGTTGAGACTACCTAGCTTGTATCAGAGACCTAAATATTGAGTCTCTGCGTGGTTAGGTTTTATTTGAATCAGAGACTATTGTATATATTATTGGTAATGAATGGTCCGTTTAATAAATTGAAAACATAGTCTACATAACCTGTTGTGTTTACAAAGCGTTACTGTACAGTAAATATAGGTCTATATGTTAGTAAAATTAGGTCAGAACATCAACATGTCTGCTTTAAATTATAAGTGATATAGTCCTAATACCTACCAAACTTATTTGACACCTTCAAAATTACCCATCGCTAATTGGGACACCTGTGGATATGTTTGGACTTTGACATGAATGCTAATCACGTCACGCACCATGGCTGGGCGGCCGATTCCTACCGCGACATCGGGTCCTGCCCTACCTGGTGTGAGGCACACGTTTACAGGTAATACCTTGATTGGCAATAATTAAGGGATGTCTGGTCGCAATAAAATAATCAAAATGCTTAGTTAACACTGTATTTGACAACACACGGGTGATTTTTTAGCGTACAGCCATACAGCGTGACATCAGTTCGTACGGATCGCATGTTATTTATACATTAATATTGTCGGGGCCTAAGTTGAAATTGGCTGTCTCGTGCACGATGTATTTTCCAAACAATGTAATAAAAAATGAATCAACGCTAAAATCTGTGACATATATTTATGATTTGTCTGTCTCAGCTGTACTGCAATGCTCACACATACAACCCATTACCCTAAACGTGTCTGTTGATCAAAGTATTGGCATTTTTCCGGGGCCGATCGCAGCGAGATTTCAATGGAGTTTGCCGAAAAAAAATCTTACTTTACGTTTTCATTTGACAAGTTCGGACTATCCGAAATAAGGTCAATAAGAGTTTGAACTATCACAGGCTAGAAAATTATTGTTTTTATTGAAAAAAATATGTGTTCGAACTATCTGCCGATTCGAACTGACCGGAGGTTTACCGTAGTCCTGATAAAATAAAGCTTAAATTTTTTCTGATTATTGGATAATGGGAATTTGGAATCAATTAATTTAATATTTTAGCTTGGATTAAAATTGAATACTTAATCAATTAGTTGATTTAATAATTGTCCCATCATCAGTAATAATGCTGTACCTGGTACTAATTTCTGGTATAGACCAAGACATGGGTTGTTCTGTGTTTGTATAGACACATCACCAGATTGTTCAGTATTCAATTCAAAAGGATTGTTGATGATTGTTTGTTTTTTTTCTTTTTTCTAGCATTAATGGGATTGTTTGAAAAGCGACGTTTCAAGAAGTTGCTTTCTTATTGCCAGAGTTTGGATCTAGACAACCCTGCTGCTAAAAACAAAGACGATAAAAAAATAGACCCAGACAATTTGGATGCCACACAGTTGTATACAGAATTTGGCGTTGATAAAAACACGCAGGATTTTACTGGGCACGCCATTGCACTGTTCCTCAATGATGAGTAAGTCATTTTACCAAACCGCCATACTTTGAGATCTGAGTTAGTTTTTTAGCCCACCATCATCAGATAGTGGGCTTTTCAAATCGCCCTGCGTTTGTGGTTCGTCGTCCGTCTGTCATTACGTCCGTCCCTCATTCTGTCCATCTTTAAACAATTCTTGTTAGCGCTATTTATCAGAAAGGACTGGAGGGATCTTTCTCAAATTCAACATGAAGGTTCCCCATATGGTACCTAGTTATATGCATATCGTTTTTTGGGACTGATCACAAAACCAAGATGGCCTACAGACGGCCATCTTTTATTTGAGTTAATGTTTGTTAGCGTTATTTCACAGAAAGGACTGCAGGGATCTTTCTCATATCCCATATGAAGATACCCCATGGTCCCTAGTTATGCATAACAAATTTTGGGACTGATAGGAAAATCAAGATGGCAAAGAGGCGCCATTTTGAATTTCTAGAGTTAAAGTTTGATAGTGCTTTTTCTCAGAAATTACTGGAAGAATCTTTCTCAAATTTGATATATAGTTCTACTTGTTCCTTAGTTGTGCATGTTTTTATTTTGAGAGTGATAACAAAAACAAGGTGGCTGCAGAAAGAACTTATAATTAGCAGATCTTTTTCATATTGTAATGATTGGGGTTATTTCTTTAACATTAAATACTGTACTAGTTAATATGTGAAAAGACAAACTCACTTTGAAGGTTGTCTTTTATACAGAGCAGTATGAGTTACCTCAAGGCACATTTACTGTTTCCATGTCTCGATCAAGCAGATAAGAGAAATGAAGAGAAAAGTTTGAACTGACAAAGAACTAATAAAGATGATACAATGGTGGGCGCCAAGATCCCTCTGGGATCTCTTGTATACTAGCTATAGTAGTAACATTAGTGAACTTGGATATTTTCTTTAATTTGTCTAAATATGTTGTAATTCTTTTTACGATTAACATGTGTACATAGACCACGCAGACAAGGTGTTACATGGCTAGTTTTTATACCCGTACTATCAACCTGTGACACAGGCTGTGTAAATGGACCACCCTTCAAAGAGCATGTTTACTGGCAAAAAATGTAATTATCAAAGTGATAAAAGCCAGACTGACACTTCATTGCATTGACACCCCCCCCCCCCCCCCCCCTACAACAAAGTTATGGTTATACTGGAATCACAACATCCATCCGTCTGTAAACACAAGTGTGTCAGGAGCAATAAAGCTTAACTTCTTAACAATTTTTTATGAAACTTGGCAAATGATCAGCATCTTTGGTGGTTGTGGAGTTGCAATATATGTTGGATAACTATTTCTTTATGTCCTTTGTTGGGTTTGCCCTTCTCTGATTTCCATCTATAAATTGCGGTATTTAGTTAGCCTGTGCTAACAATTATGGTTTCAACTGAAAATGCATCCATTTAATAGATTGAAAAAGAAACACGATGAATCTTATAAAAAGCAGTAGTATATGTTTCATAATGTATTAATTTTGAAAATGATTACAATATTTCATGTTTCATTTCTAACACCTACATGTATGTAAAATAAACAGCTTTAGCAAAATTTGCATCACATTTTCAACCACTAATTACCTCACACCTGTTATTATTTCAATTCTTAGTTATCTGCACAAAAATTGCAAGGAGCTAATAAGGCGCATTCAGCTGTATTCCGGGTCTCTAGCCAGGTATGGCAAATCCCCTTACCTGTACCCACTGTATGGACTTGGAGAACTTCCGCAGGGATTTGCAAGGTAAGGAAAAAATATGATAAAAGAAAAATAAACAAAATGGTTTCTTGTTCTTGCCTTGAAGTTTATTTTAAGTGCTTCATAATAAGCAGTCTTGTGAAGAGGTGAAAGGCTAAATAGACAGTGCTAGAGAATCTAAGGGGTGTATTTATTTCTATGATGATGGTTACCTGTGGGCACAGGGTTCGAATTTAAGCTCGCATTCTCGCGAAAAGCGAGTACAAATTGCAAACTGCGAGTAGAGATTTCAGACACCACCTTTTTTTTGCGAGTGAAAACTTTGGGCTGAATAATCCTCATTTCTAATGGTCGGTCTTTACAAATTCTTTCTTTGACAACTCGCGGTCATTTAAGCGCATTCTTGTCATTCGCCGAACGAATGATTCAGCTTTTGTCATTAACGGAAGTTTACAATCGATACATGTCCTGTGGGCATGTCCGTTAGGAAGTACCTGCACAAATAATGATGACGTTTACCGCATGCATGATGTTTTTCGGTAATCTATTTTTAGTTACTATTTATAGTGCAAATACGATAGGCTTGACTAGTCACGTGGTTGTATTAGGGTTTCCCAAGGTTAAATTTCAAAGCTCGCTGCACCGGCAAAATAAGAAATGGACAAGTTGCTGATGTTGCCCTTAGAGAGTATGACCCAAAACCTGCTGTGACAAGATGGTGGTTGTCAGGACAAAAACAGAAAAGCCCAAATACTCTACCATATGGAGCAAGAAACTAAGATGCAGTTTCTATGCTATATCTTAGAATAGACTGAGCAGGCCAGCATCCTTTCACAGCAAGGTTTGCGTCATGTATACATCCCAATGACCATAATTTAAAATGTCAGTTAATACTGTGTTGTTTTAGAATTTAATTCTAAGTTAACATGTCTGATAAAGTTGGAAAAATGCAAATTGCCAGTTGTTTTCTCATTTAGCAAGTTAGAAAAAATACCACTTGCAAAAAAATGCAAGTAGAAAATTTGGTTAAATTCGAACCCTGGGGCATTGTTCTGAGATGGTCTAAGGTCTCTATGATGATGGTTACTTGTGGGCATTGTTCTGAGATTGTCTAAGGTCTCTATGATGATGGTTACTTATGGGCATTGTTCTGAGATGGTCTAAGGTCTCTATGATAATGGTTACTTGTGGGCATTGTTCTGAGATGGTATAAGGTCTCTATGATGATGGTTACTTGTGGGAATTGTTCTGAGATGGTCTAAGGTCTCTATGATGATGGTTACTTGTCGGCATTGTTCTGAGATGGTCTAAGGTCTCGATGATGATTACTTGTGGGCATGGTTCTGAGATGGTCTAAGGTCTCTATGATGATGGTTGCTTGTGGACATTGTTCTGAGATGGTCTAAGGTCTCTATGATAATGGTTACTTGTGGGCATTGTTCTGAGATGGTATAAGGTCTCTATGATGATGGTTACTTGTGGGCATTTTTCTGAGATGGTCTAAGGTCTCTATGATGATATAGTTACTTGTGGGCATTGTTCTGAGATGGTCTTAGGTCTCTATGATGATGGTTACTTGTGGGCATTGTTCTGAGATGGTCTAAGGTATCTATGATGATGGTTACTTGTGGGCGTTTTTCTGAGATGGTCTAAGGTCTCTATGATGATATAGTTACTTGTGGGCATTGTTCTGAGATGGTATTAGGTCTCTATGATGATGGTTACTTGTGGGCATAGTTCTGAGATGGTCTAAGGTCTCTATGATGATATAGTTACTTGTGGGCATTGTTTTGAGATTGTCTAAGGTCTCTATGATGATGGTTACTTGTGGTCATTGTTCTGAGATGCTCTAAGGTCTCTATGATGATGGTTACTTGTGGTCATTGTTCTGAGATGCTCTAAGGTCTCTATGATGATGGTTACTTGTGGTCATTGTTCTGAGATGGTCTAGGTATCTATGATGATGATTACTTGTGGGCATTGTTGTGAGATGGTCTAAGGTCTCTATGATGATGGTTGCTTGTGGACATTGTTCTGAGATGGTCTAAGGTCTCTATGATGATAGTTACTTGTGGGCATTGTTCTGAGATGGTCTAAGGTCTCGATGATGATTACTTGTGGGCATTGTTCTGAGATGGTCTAAGGTCTCTATGATGATGGTTACTTGAGGGCATTGTTCTGAGATGGTCTAGGTATCTATGATGATGATTACTTGTGGGCATTGTTCTGAGATGGTCTAAGGTATCTATGATGATGGTTACTTGTGGGCATTGTACAGTCTCTTTTACATTTGGTTACATTGGGTATTATTCTCAATTCTCTGGCAGTTGGTTACTTTTGGGCATTGTTCTTGAATCGTGTTAGATCTCTTTAATGATTGGTTACGTTTGGGCAATATTCTTAGTTTGTGTAAGGGTTTTAGCTCACCTGGTCCTAAGGACCACTTTGAGGTGAGTTTATACCATACTGTGGTCTCTGCCTATCATCTTATATATATATTTTTATTAGTATCGAATTGTGTCGACTGTATTTTTACACTCGTCTGGTAAAAAGTGTATGTGATGTCATCTGTTTGGAATATATGTGTACTTGTTATGTGCTCTGTGGTATCTTCTATTCCGTCTTTGCGTATTGCAGAGTTATTTTCTCTTGTGAGCAGGTATTGATTGTTACGTCATTGGTTTGTGAGAGTAACGTCGTCAATTTTTGAGAAAACGAGGTCATTTTCTCACACAAACAAATGACCTAACAATCAATACCTGCTCACAAGAGAAGATAACTCTGCAATACGCAAAGACGGAATAGTAACTTCTTTCTACTTATATGCAGCTTATAGCGACATTACCAATAGCACTCAGTAAAGAGAAATAGAAAACACTAAAACTTGTCCATGTGTTGGATAACTTAGCAACCAGTGACATGGCTTACATTTGCTCCTTGTACCACACTCCAGAAATGGTTTAACTTCACTATAAAACTGTTACATTTCAATATTTGCATTCCTCTCTGTAGAAGATGGTTTGAGAAGGATTCTATGTCTATTGACATGTGACACATGTATACTGTCTCTACGGTATTGTTATATTGTAAAGTGTTTTATATCATTACACAAGTGACATAATTACCATGAACATGGCGATGTTATCTCTGTTATCTGTTACGGTAAATTATATCTTCTGCTCTTGTTTCAGATTGAGTGCCATTTATGGCGGAACTTACATGCTCGGAAAAACAGTGGACGAACTGGTGATGGAGGATGGGAAGGTAGTGGGTGTCAAGAGTGGCGGCGAGGTGGCTAAAACCAAGATGGTCATCTGTGATCCCTCGTATGTACCACACAAAGTCAAGAAAACCGGAAGGGTGAGGAGGCTGTTAGTCACTTGTATAATTTGTGAGATAATTATTTTCCTGTTATATCACTTAGGAAATCTATTTTAATTTCACTTAGACTTTGTTTTGTAAGCCTTCACACTTTGTTATGGAAGCAAAATCGGACTGACTGATCTTGTTAGTCAGGACTTGTCGTTTCTGGAACTATAAAATTAAGTTTTCTTAGACATTATAATTATAAATCAGGTTTTTTTTCACATTGCTTGATTCAGGTGGTGAGAGCTATTTGTATTCTGAAAGGAAAAGTGGAGGGAGTCAATAACAGTGAATCTCTCCAGATCATCATTCCACAGAACCAGGTTGACAGAAAAAATGGTTAGTGACAAGATGCATGGGAGCTATATAGTCTGACAAGGACCATCAAACTGCCTTACATACAGATCATTAAAACTTGAGTATTTTGTTCATCCCTTGTCGTTATTTTCATTTTTTTTTTTATATAAATTATAAGTTTTAAGCAGGTCTATATGATACATCAGTTATATTTGGAAACAAGATATTTTTTCGAATACAACTCTCAGGAATACAGATCAAAGCTGGTCTTTATAAAGTACATCATTGCCTAGGTTTATGTTTTATACGGTATCAAGTGTGATGTCACTAACAGATATCTGATGTACATCATTGCCCAGGGTTATCTTCTATACAGTGTTAAGTTTGGTGTTACAGTTACAGATATCTGATGTACATCATTGTCCAGGATTATGTTTAATACAGTATATTTATATTAAAGTACCATGTAACTGTTACAGATATCTGATGTATATTATTGTCCAGGGTTATGTTTAATACAGTATATTTAAGTACCATGTAACTGTTACAGATATCTGATGTACATCGTTGCCCAGGGTTATGTTTAATACAGCATATTTAAGTACCATGTAACTGTTACAGATATCTGATGTATATTATTGTCCAGGGTTATGTTTAATACAGTATATTTAAGTACCATGTATCTGTTACAGATATCTGATGTATATTATTGCCCAGGGTTATGTTTAATACAGTATTAAGTTTGGTGTTACTGTTACAGACATCTGATGTATATTATTGTCCAGGGTTATGTTTAATACCGTATTAAGTTTGGTGTTACTGTTACAGATATCTGACGTACATTGTTGCCCAGGGTTATGTTTAATACAGTATTAAGTTTGGAGTTACTGTTACAGATATCTGATGTACATCGTTGCCTAGGGTTATATTTAATACCGTATTAAGTTTGGGGTTACTGTTACAGATATCTGATGTATATTGTTGCCCAGGGTTATGTTTGATACAGTATTAAGTTTGGTGTTACTTTTACAGATATCTGATGTACATCGTTGTCCAGGGGTATGTTTAATACAGTATTAAGTTTGGTGGTATTGTTACAGATATCTGATGTACATTGTTGCCCAGGGTTATGTTTGATACAGTATTAAGTTTGGTGTTACAGATATCTGACGTACATTATTGCCCAGGGTTATGTTTAACACAGTATTAAGTTTGGTGTTACTGTTAAAGATATCTGACGTACATCGTTGTCCAGGGTTATGTTTAATACCGTATAAAGTTTGGTGTTACTGTTACAGACATCTGATGTATATTATTGCCCGGGGTTATGTTTAATACCGTATTAAGTTTTGTGTTACTGTTACAGATATCTGACGTATATTATTGCCCAGGGTTATGTTTAATTCAGTATTAAGTTTGGTGTTACTGCTACAGACATCTGATGTATATTATTGCCCGGGGTTATGTTTAATACCGTATTAAGTTTGGGGTTACTGTTACAGATATCTGATGTCCATCGTTGCCTAGGGTTATGTTTAATACCGTATTATATATAGGGAAATAACACTTTTGGGTATATTTTGACAACTTTCCGCAGGAAATTATTTTTACTTGGTGAGAATTATCCTTGGAGATAGATGGTTTCAAATTGTAAAATTGAGATTCCTACCCCGACCCCTGGGGCCAGGGCGGGGCCCCAAAAGGAAAATTATCCAATATTTCAAAAATCTTCTTCTCCGGACTCAGAGGTACTACAGTGATTTTCTTTACGTGGAAAGAAAGATCATCAGGGGCTTTATTTAAATTGAGAATATCAGGACCCCGAGCTATCCGTGCTCCCTTGGGAAGGGGTTAACGTTTAATATAGTTTATATAGGGAAATAACACTTTTGGGTATATTTTGACAACTTTCTGTAGGAAATTATTTTTACTTGGTGAGAATTATCCTTGGAGGTAGATAGTTTCAAATTGTAAAATTGAGATTCCTACCCCGGCCCCTGGGGCCAGGGCGGGGCCCCAAAGGGAAAATTATCCAATATTTCAAAAATCTTCTTCTCCAGACTCAGAGGTACTACAGTGATTTTCTTTACGTGGAAAGAAAGATCATCAGGGGCTTTATTTAAATTGAGAATATAAGGACCCCGAGCTATCCGTTCTCCCTTGGGAAGGGGTTAACGTTTAATATAGTTTATATAGGGAAATAACACTGTTGGGTATATTTTGACAACTTTCCGCAGGAAATTATTTTTACTTGGTGAGAATTATCCTTGGAGGTAGATAGTTTCAAATTGTAAAATTGAGATTCCTACCCCAACCCCTGGGGCCAGAGCGGGGCCCCAAAGGGAAAATTAATCAATATTTCAAAAATTTTCTTCTACAGACTCAGAGGTACTACAGTGATTTTCTCTACGTGGAAAGAAAGATCATCAGGGGCTTTACTTAAATTGTAAATTTCAGGACCCCCGAGCTATCCGTTCTCCCTTGGGGAGGGGGTAAAGTTTACTATAGTTTATATAGGGAAATAACACTGTTGGGTATATTTTGACAACTTTCTGTAGGAAATTATTTTTACTTGGTGAGAATTATCCTTGGAGGTAGATGGTTTCAAATTGTAAAATTGAGATTCCTACCCCAACCCCTGGGGCCAGAGCGGGGCCCCAAAGGGAAAATTATCCAATATTTCAAAAATCTTCTTCTCCAGACTCAGAGGTACTACAGTGATTTTCTCTACGTGGAAAGAAAGATCATCAGGGGCTTTACTTAAGTTGTAAATTTCAGGACCCCCGAGCTATCCGTTCTCCCTTGGGGAGGGGGTAAAGTTTACTATAGTTTATATAGGGAAATAACACTTTTGGGTATATTTTGACAACTTTCCGTAGGAAATTATTTTTACTTGGTGAGAATTATCCTTGGAGGTAGATAGTTTCAAATTGTAAAATTGAGATTCCTACCCCGGCCCCTGGGGCCAGGGCGGGGCCCCAAAAGGAAAATTATCCAATATTTCAAAAATCTTCTTCTCCGGACTCAGAGGTACTACAGTGATTTTCTCTATTGTCCAGGGTTATGTTTAATACAGTATTGAGTTTGGTGTTACTGTTAAAGATCTCTGATATACATCGTTGACCAGGGTTATGTTTAATACAGTATATCTTAGTACCACGTTACTTTTACAGATATCTGATGTATATTATTGCCCAGGGGTATGTTTAATACAGTATTAAGTTTGGTGTTACAGATATCTGACGTACATTATTGCCCAGGGTTATGTTTAATTCAGTATTAAGTTTGGTGTTACAGATATCTGACGTACATTATTGCCCAGGGTTATGTTTAACACAGTATTAAGTTTGGTGTTACTGTTACAGATATCTGATGTACATCGTTGCCTAGGGTTATGTTTAATACCGTATTAAGTTTGGTGTTACTGTTACAGATATCTGATGTACATCGTTGCCCAGGGTTATGTTTAATACAGTATTAAGTTTGCTGTTACTATTACAGATATTTGATGTACATCGTTGCCCAGGGTTATGTTTAATACAGTATTAAGTTTGCTGTTACTATTACAGATATTTAATGTACATCGTTGCCTAGGGTTATGTATAATACCGTATTAAGTTTGGGGTTACTGTTACAGATATCTGAAGTACATCATTCTCCAGGATTATGTTTAATACAGTATTAAGTTTGGTGTTACTGTTACAGATATTTACATCTGTGTGCTCTCCAATCAACAATGTGTGACGGCCAAGGGTTTTTACCTTGGGATCGTCAGTACCACGGTGGAGACCAGTGATCCAGAGGGAGAGTTACAAATCGGCATTGACATTCTCAACGGCAAGGACAAAAGCAATATTGCAGAAAAGTATGTATGGTACAGCCTGATCATCACCCCATAGCATCTAAGAAATAAGCTAATTTGTTTGGACTGTTTGCATTTATTCATTCACCTGGCTGAATGTATTTACATGTGATGACATGAAAGTATAATTGCTATTTTACATTGATACCATTATCTTGAATAATGAATGACTTGAAAATGACCTGCTATGTTGTATATTTCAGATTTATTGCTGTAGCTGATATGCTAGAACCGGTTGATGATGGAACAGCAGATAACGTAAGTTGTGGAATCCTTCAACAGATACTGCAGAAAGTCGAGCACTGTTTTGCTTTTACTGTTGTCGATACAGATCTTACAATAAGTTCTTCGGGGTTCATAAGAAAGTCTGGAGTCTGGAGGAATCTTACCAAAATTCTGTACTGATCTTACCAAAAGTCTTCTTTAAGGAGTGCTATTGCGCATCATTGAACATATTTGTTGAAAAATGTGTTCAAATGTCAATCCTTAGATATTTTCATGTTTGTCATGGGTAATGTGGAATTTGCATGGAAGAAGCTAAGATGAAACTGCGGCCCAAAAGTCTAGCACTTATACTTTTGTAGAAATAGACCTTAACGCAAAAACTTAGCTTTAACAATGCATTTAAAAGTGGGAGTGATACATGGGGAATATACTATATATTAAGAGGTCATCTTTAAATTTTGGGATTCAAGATGGCTGCTATGAATTCTGATTTGCTGAGACATTAAATACTTCATTGGTCGATAGAGGGTATTAGTGTAACAGTAGGCTTACAGTTCTAGTTTTAATAAATTCAACATGATCCTTATATATATGTTCCACCATGAAGTATATTCTTTCAAATGTTTTAACTTATTTTTTTCAGATATTCGTATCAACATCTTATGATTCTACTTCACATTTCCAAACAACTTGCGAAGATGTCGTTGACATTTACAGAAGAGCAACTGGTAAAGAAATAGACCTCACAAATATGCCTCACATGAATAACCAAGAGGAGGAGCAAAGCGCACAGTAATTTAATCCCCAGAGACTCTTAGTGCTGTGGAAGATGCTGTCCGATATCAATATCTTGAACATCGCTGTTTCTATCATAACATGTGACGGTTTCTGAGATGGTTGTTTGATAAACATGCTGCAGGATTTTTTTCCTCTAATTTCTTTTTCAGATCGAGGTAGGAATACGATTTTAGTCTGAAATGATTTGTAGTCCTCGGAAATGGTTGATTCTGTGATCACTGAAAAGTGGAAAGTAGAGCAAAGTTGAATACGACTACGTATTTTGAGCAGGAAGTAAGTTGGGTGATGAGGTATGGACGCTGTTATAATTACCACAACTATGACACTTATCTTCTTGTGTATATTTTTTTTTTTTGCAGGAGATAAAATCATGGAAGTAGGGAAAGACACTTCTACAAGTCAATGTCTTAATTGTCATTTGTTATGCATTCAGTAATGAAATATACTTGTGCAACATCGGCCTGAATCATTCATTGGTATTAAGCATTACAATGTTTTCCCTTGGTATATGTGGTGCATGTTTGATTAAATTGTGTAGTTTTTCTCCAATAATGATAATTCAAATTGACAGTCACAAAGAGCTGCTTCCTGTTTAATAGCTCCTTAAAGTGATTTTACCACTGATCCAATTCTCGTTGCCGTATAAACAAAATCAACAATACAATCAACAGAACAAGACTAATATATAAATTGATCATCAACTGGTAAATTCTGTTATGTACTGTTAGCAGTCATTGTACAATTTATCACTCATCTTTATGGGGATGCTGTGTTTGAATTTTAATTTATTTCACATATTTTCACAAGTAATATTATACTGTATTGATTTCTGTTATCGTTTCTTTGTCGGTTACTGATAATATATAGACTATCATGAAATCTGTGAAATGCTCAAACCATTTTGTTGGAACCCACATGCAACTGATAAGATGAAAAACGTTGGGAACCTAGCTACATGCATTTGATTCTAAAGAAGAAACTAAGAAAAACTAACTTTGTTCTGAAACACTGGTAATATTTGTAGAGCCCACTTTTGTCTCATGACAGTACACTCTTTCTACCGGTTAGATAACTCTGAAAGCAGTAACATTTTAAGTTTGATTTGTCCCATTTTATTTGACCAAAATTTAAGTGACAGTTGTGTATATGTGTATATAATATATAGAATATACTTGTGTATTATTGATGTATGTAGACGTTGCTATGTTTCCGCGACCAGGTCCACATTTCTCGATAAATATTCAATGGTAAGATTTGATTAGAGTTTTTCTAAAATTTCTTTAAACAGCATGTTCACATTCAGGAAATATATTAGAATATTGGAAGTTATTTTATGAATTAAGATTTTTTTTTTTTAAACTCGACACTTCGCCAAGACATCTCATTTCAGAATTAAATGTGAATGTTAAAACTGGAATTTTGATATTTAAATGTATATGGAATATCTTTTGTGTTTTTCAGATTCTTGTAAATTTAATAAAAACAAAATGCTGAAAAATAACTTTGAGAAAATCTATCTATTATTTATTATCGAGAAATTAATTTCAGGTCGTGGACATCTAGCCTAGTATTGCGCACGTCATCGTTAATGTATGTTTCCATGGTTTTTGTTGGGTGTGAGACGGTATGGAAGAGTTTAGAAAGAGCTTAATAAGGTGACACTGCAATACTGGGGCACTATTTTATTAACGCTATTTCTTGTCATACCCACAGCTAAATAACTGGCAGGTGACAGTAAAACATCTTCAAGAGTTCACTGTTACCTTAGTTCTTTTCTGCGATATAACATGGTAAATTTTAATCAAGAAAATGTTATTCTAAAGAGTTTTCCAAATTTAGCTGTCATTTTATTTGACAAAATAGATCATAAATCCAGGTATTTGTTTGTATTTATACCATATATAATCTTGATATGAAATTTTAAATATCAAGAAACGAAATCATTCAAGTAACAATGCATCTGTGTATATATTAATAAAGTGCTTACCAGGTATTGAAGATTTGAAAATGAATTTTAACATTAAATTGTTATTATCAAGGGATATGCTTTTTGTACCAAACAAAACACATTTTCTAACAGAATTGACGTACCAGGGTAAACTTTTCCTTGAATGGTTAGTGAATAATTGAACAAGCTTTTTTAAATGGTGTATGGTTTATTTGATGATCCCATAGAGATCAGGATTCTATAATTGACTGTGTAAAAAGAGCCTATATGCTATAATATGGGGTAACAAGGAATTGTACATCTCTCTTTATCCTTTACGTTTATATAGAAGACAAGTAGGGTACTGGCTGGCCAATACTTTTATCTGCAATAGCAAGCACCATGTGTAACAAGAACCTCGGAATTTCCTCTACAATATTTTCTAGCTTCAATAAAACACAATGCCTTTATGCCAATGCATTTTGTGAATTGAATGTGAATGCGCTTTCCAGACTTGATTAGTTGCTTTCTAACAGAATTTTCAAGACCATTTTTCATACTTAAAACTGCTTTGTGAATCTGTTGAATCAAGAAAAATATCTTTTCAATCAGAAATTTCTAGTGATCTTATTGTGACAATTAGACGTTGTAATGTTCTCTTAGTCTGAATGCTGGTAAAATGAGAGAGAGAGTCTGTGAAGGTATTGGGTGCCAGAGTTTTTTTTTCTTTTCTTGCCTATTGTCTGATATTTTGGGGAGTATATGTACCACGCTTTCATTATAATATATAGATGTATTCCTGTGAAGCCAATTTAAGATATGTCACCCTCTTGTCCGATACCATGCTTACATACTTCATAAGTAAATAAAGGTACAGAACAAGAGAAAAGACTCCTTGTTATTGGATTAAGTAGAACACATTTATTATTTCAATAAATAACATTAAGATTTGCGTTCCATTACTACGCTGCTACATGTAAATAAAATCTTTTCAAAGTAATTTAAAATTAAAAAAATCAAACTTAAGTTATTTTACAACAGTCGCGAAACAGGTTCTATCAACTTATATTAATCATTCTTGTTGGCCCCATAAGGGGTCTTAATGTGGGAGAAACTGGAGTACCCACAGAAAACTGATCGGGCAGGTAACCCCATTTCTTTTATGTCCAATCGGGGAATCGAACCTTGGCCGTCGGGGTGATAGGTGAGTGGCCTATCCACTGCACCACTCAACCAACCTTTTTGTTCCATGACTGGTTATTTCGTCTTTATGTTCCCAGATAAGATGGTAACGACACAAATGTACAAGGGAGATAACTCCTTACACAAATGTACAAGGGAGATAACTCCTTACACAAATTACAGATGTGCAGTGTAGCCATCTGTAATTTATTGTTGCCATCAGTTCACTTTTCTCAGAGTTATGTTCTTTTTCATGTTGGTCAGTCTATCTGTCCCACATTCTTGCGACACATTTTCTTTTTTAGTCACAAACAAAATTTGTAGATATTATAGACAAACAAGAGGCCCATGGGCTTTAACGGTCACCTGAGTCCTACAGTATTTATTTTTGTTGTTGAAATATGTACCAATTTGAGTACAAAATAGTTAAGTATAACGTTAACTTAAGTTTGTCAGGACCATGAGCTGATCATACCTAGACCGAGTTTCAGTTAAATCCTTATGGAAATTCCATAGCTTTTGCCCTTCATTGTCACTGTTAAATTTTGACCCCAGCCAGACTCAAAGTTGTCATTTTACCTATAAATGTATATTAGAAAAAGATTTGCACTACTGGTCTATATTTCTGAAAATGTTGCATTAAGTTTTAAACATATTTAACCATTGTGACTTTGAAAGTAAGTCAAAGTCATGATCACTTGTATGAGGAAACCTTATACGCCTGTAGCATGCTCCATCTCGGGTAACTATATACACTACTAGCCAAATCGATGGATGGACAACGGACAGTGCACCATACCAAAGAGCTCATAGGCACTTTAAGCCAGGTAAGCCAAGTTATTCTCAATATATTGATTAAAAAGAACAAAAAACATCAATGTCCATTTCAACTTTTATTAGAACTCTGAAGTGCTGAGTATCATCTGACAGCAAAGAAAGAAACGTAAATCTCTCCCCTGTTCTACATATACTTAGCATCTCTATTGACACCAGTTTCCAAAGTAGTAAATCCAAATCTGCTGCAAATATCTATATGAACGTCTTTCAACAAGCTATATATTATAGTTATACATTCCAGGAACAACCAATTTGTTTACAATTTTATTTGAGTCAAAAATTATGTTCTGTTAGCTTATAACAAACACGCAAGTTTGTCGGTGCTTTCAATAATCAAGCAGTGATGTACGTTCATTACATAAAACACGAATTACTTTAAACAGCTTGAAGGCCAATTCAGCATGTGGTTGAAAAATTGCAATATTTTTGTATTAACCGAGTACAGTACATTTGTATAGGAGAGGAAATTTAAAACTTGTTAAAATTTGAAAAATGAAGAAAATTTATTTATGGAAGTAAAGAATTGCATTGCAGTCACATGACAGGAAGGCTATTGATACACAAACATCCTCTTTAATCACATGATAAGGTATAACATGGCATGTGACCAACTAGGGAAAATTTTATACAAGTCATGTGATAATCAATTACAACTTACTCGACTGTACAAGTAACACAGAGAATTATGTGATGTTGATGCAAGCTATGTGATGGCAATATACATTTTAATGATTAAATTTGACTTAGTGGTGTTCAGCATATACATAGCAAATAATATATACGCAAATGTATCTTGCATGTGCTAATATACAAAATTTCATAATAAAATTATTTTTTTCTATTAAAATGAATATAAAATTACAAGGAGGGGATATATAATATAACGGACTGGCAGTAACAAAATTATGTACATTAAATAAAGACAATTCTGTATCGCCCCAGAATTCAATCCTTTTCTGCACCGTTCTGGTAAAATGCCAGGTAATTAAAACATTAAATACATAGCGTACATACCGTGAAACTATCTGTCACCGAGTAATCTAGAACTGGTGTGATATAAATAAAACATGCATCTTTTGTAAAATGGACATTTTAACATGGAGTTACTGCAAACAAATTTAATTTGGAAAAATAAAAAAAATAAAACGGGAATTTCAATTTAGAAAATTTCAGAACAAATAAAATCCAACTTTGCTGTTGTAAAAGTGCTGTTAAAAATGTTGACATTAAAACTATCAGCAATGAGGCATCGATAACACCAGGTTTGTAAACACACACAAAACATATAAACCTAGCTTATCTGGACTCGGACAATGAGGAGGAACTCGCACATTTCTTGGTAAACAAAATCCTGATTCTCTTATGAATATTCTCTGTTGATGGTCACAACAAATTTAAATACAGCTGTACTGACGAGATCTTTTTCACCAGGAAACACTGTTGTTATTCTTGTTATCTACTTTGAAAAATCTATGGAATATCATGGTCCTAAAGCTCCTCAATTACAGAACCATTTATTTAAAATTTCAAACAAAAGTTTCTAATCGTTTGGATTTATCTGCCATTATCAAAGCTGGAATTACATAATTTCATATAATTTGAACAGGTTTATCAATATTTATTTAATTTTGTTCGAACTGACCGAAGGTTTACTGTATATTGAATTGTTTACCTTTCTGATGGATCATCAATTATTAAAAATAAGATTTAATTATTATAAATAGTTAATTAACATAGTCCTTATTGCCATAAACAGATCACATTTTACTTGTTGCCTGACATGGAACTATTTTAGGAATGAGATAAAATTCAGTCATATTCTTGTGTCACTGACCAAAATACCCATTGTTTCAGTTTTTCTCTCCAGAAATTAAACTATCCACATTAAAGAGGCTCCGTTATGGTCAGACAGAAATATTCTAGCTATCACCTTGATTTTGTTATCAATAATAATAAACACAACTGCTGTAATTTGTCATGCATGTTAAGCTAAGGCAATGAGTGTGTTAACCAAGAGTGTGACATGCCTATAGTATTCTCCCTGTAATAAGCCCTTGGGCCTGCTTCTTAAATACAAAGTTACACAAGCACTGGGCATATTTCTAAAATTCACCGAATATAGATAGGAAGCGTTAATTTCCAGATGTGACCCTCGTAAACATGTAAAAGTCTGGTAATACTGAGCATAAAATAATGCTCAGTCTGATACACTTGTATCTTCTTTCAAATTGCTTTTTGACTATAAATACAATTAACAGCATATAAATTGATATTCTCCAACATTGAAGTTAAAGAAAACATAAATCTGATATAGAAAAGTTTTCATCAGTAAATACCATTCATTATAGCTGCATACTATGCTATTGATTAGGATTCTCTGTATTTAAAAGAAGAGCAGCTTGTAAAATTAAGATATTTTTTGTGTAACTGTCAAAACTTAACCAAATCTTTTCGCATTTTTTGACCGGCAGTCACACCGACAAAATATATGAAAACCTCACATTCTTTATGAAAGGAAGAATTAATAATTTGTGCATGGCCAATTACATTTACAATAGCATTATATAATTGATCACCGCTACACATCTATATAAAGGGTATAAATATATGATATATATTCAGGCTATATGAAGCTCTGATCTCCAAAAATCGGCCCCTTTGGTTAAGTGCTCTGTCTCAAAACATCAGGTCCCATTATGTATCCAGAACCTGATGCTCTACCAAGCTCGGAACTTTAAAAAATGTGTTGTCTTGGACTGCAATGAATGTCTCAATTCAACAACAGGTAGATATTTTTCTTTAACTGCTTTCCTAACATAGCCACGTGTGTACATCAGATATGTATATACCCCCTGGAGCCAAAATCACTCTTTAATTGACATACCTTCAGATGACATAATCAGATTTTAGAATATAGGAATAGTTTAGCAAATTCATTGGTTGAACTCTAAGGGTCCAAATAGGGAGTCCCCTTCCTAAATAGGGAGGGTTGGCAAGTATGTCATCTACTTAATAAAGAGACAAAACTGGTAGGGACGATCAAGGGAGATAACTGAATGACAAATACAGATCATAACTAAAACTATGAAAGACTTTAAACATCAAGTACCCAACTACACGTACACACATGCAGGTAATCCAGGCTCACTGTATGACCTTTTTAAATTACAGGATAAAATATCAAGTACATGTTTATTTCATACAGACAATTAAATATTTCCAACAGAAAACAGATCACAGAAACTTGTTAACATAAAACTGTTCAGTTGATGCTTCATACACTAATGTTAACTATGGCTACACAGAAACAAGCTGAGAAATAACTGGGCCGTTTTCGTTTAAACGGTTGAACCAGTCGGACCACAGTTGTTCATTTATTAAATAAGGTTGGACCTAGTGATCTGGAACTGCTTTCAGGCGAGCTTTGAGAAAGCCTTGCAAGGCCTGCATAAACATTTGCAGGTCCACCAGGATTCGTACCCAAAATTGTTACATTTAAAAACGGAAAACCTGGTTGTTCCGCATAAACGACCAAGCCCCTGGTTACAGAAAAGCTTCTCAACACCATAACTATGGCTAGAGACAAGCTTTTGACAAACCATGATACTGCTGGGGTTATAGTCAAGCTTTTTATAAAACATGATAACAGGCTAACGACAAACCTGTCACAAAAACATGATAACAGGCTAACGACAAGCCTGTCACAAAACATGATAGCAGGCTAACGACAAGCCTGTCATAAAACATAATAAAAGGCTAACAACAAACCTGTCATAAAACTTGATAAATCTTCAACTGGGATTACAGACAAGTTTCTCAAAAGCCATGATTACCATGCTATTCAGAGGCAAGCTTATCTTTGACCATGCATGGTACATGTTGTCATGGATACAAAGAACATTTTCTGTGAACCGTTGTTACACATTATGTGCTTTCCAAAGAAGTCATAGATGGAACCGCAACATCCTGGAAAACATTTCTAACTGGTTAGATTTTTATCTTCATTTGTGAAAATAAAATTCCAATAAAAGATTATTGATTCAGAGGTATTTTCAACAGTGTTACCATTACTGGTGCACATGCATCCACTGCAAATTAAAATCCTTACAAATATGGTACTGAATCAGGAATCACAGAATTCACACATACGTCAAGGATTCCCAGTACCAAAGTATTAATGTAACAGACAACTCGTACCCCAATATCATCCTCTCAAAACAATAACATGCTTGCAATCAGACATTACCAAAGCATTTTCCAAATAAATTGTAAAAATAATTCTTATCTCCACTGTCCGAATAGTTGAAAGTATGGAAAATATGAATAACTTTGCGTATAGACCTCAATTAAGCTACATGTACACTAAAACTTGCATTCATTTCTGTTTTCACCACAACAACTTTCGTCATCCAACCACTGTCAAGAAGCTGTCCACAGCAAGTCCACTCTTAACGATTAACATTTGAACTAGTCTGTTCCAACCTTTGCTATGAGTTCATCACAAATTTCTGTCAACTCCTGGTTTTCCTGAATCTGTGAAAGACGAGAAATGCATCAACATTAGTGGTGTATTCTGATCTTTTTTGATACTGTCACACATAGGAATGGTTTGTTTTGGCCTCTTTTCAGACTGATTTTCACCTTTTTTGGTGCGATATCATTGCATATCTAGTTTCACATGGTTAAACCTAGCAATGAAGACTACATAAGAAGGAAAGGATACATTGGTGGGCTAAAAATAATCTGAAGTATAAGGGAATGGCAAATAGAATATGTCAACATTGGAAACATTATCAGACATCTTTCTTCAAACATTAGGACAGTTCAAAAAGGCTATTCAAAGGAAATACCTCGATTGATTTTTTTTTTATTGAACTGGATAGAAGAGTGCACCCTTTTTAGAGCTACAGTTGTAGTAACAGAAGCCTGATTTAGACATAATTACCTTTTGTTCTAGTGTCTTCTCCAGCCCTTGTACACGTAGATCCGACTTTCGCATGGCTGCCTCAAGCCGAGCCACATCAGCTATTGTTGTCTTCCGTACTTTCTCAATTTCTTGATTTGCTCTGAAGAATTGAATGTTTCAACTAATCAAATATTTCTTCCATACTTTCAAATCAGTTTCATCACTGAACTAGACCAATGAAATGGTCAGCAAGGGCCCTACTACATATTAACTCAGTGTATATGTCCAGGTGGATGCTAACAGCTGAATGATCATGGAAATGGTTTTATTTGTTGTTTTATTAGAAAATCTTATGTCCTTGCAACAGCTATGGTTAATGAAAACAGTGTCTTCTGATAATGGGACATTGGATGGCAACTTGGAAGTGCCATCTAACTGACTTGTCACCCTAGACACAACACCATGACACCCTACCCAGACACATTATACTGACATACAGTAACATGACACACCACCCAGACACATTATACTGACATACAGTAACATGACACACCACCCAGACACATTATACTGACATACAGTAACATGACACACCACCCAGACACATTATACTGACATACAGTAACATGACACACCACCCAGACACATTATACTGACATACAGTAACATGACACACCACCCAGACACATTATACTGACATACAGTAACATGACACACCACCCAGACACATTATACTGACATACAGTAACATGACACACCACCCAGACACATTATACTGACATACAGTAACATGACACACCACCCAGACACATTATACTGACATACAGTAACATGACACACCACCCAGACACATTATACTGACATACAGTAACAAGACACACCACCCAGACACATTATACTGACATACAGTAGCATGACACACCGCCCAGACACATTATACTGACATACAGTAACAAGACACCCTACCCAGACACATTATACTGACATACAGTAGCATGACACACCGCCCAGACACATTATACTGACATACAGTAACATGACACACCACCCAGACACATTATACTGACATACAGTAACATGACACACCACCCAGACACATTATACTGACATACAGTAACATGACACACCACCCAGACACATTATACTGACATACAGTAACATGACACACCACCCAGACACATTATACTGACATACAGTAACATGACACACCACCCAGACACATTATACTGACATACAGTAACATGACACACCACCCAGACACATTATACTGACATACAGTAACATGACACACCACCCAGACACATTATACTGACATACAGTAACATGACACACCACCCAGACACATTATACTGACATACAGTAACATGACACACCACCCAGACACATTATACTGACATACAGTAACATGACACACCACCCAGACACATTATACTGACATACAGTAACATGACACACCACCCAGACACATTATACTGACATACAGTAACATGACACACCACCCAGACACATTATACTGACATACAGTAACATGACACACCACCCAGACACATTATACTGACATACAGTAACATGACACACCACCCAGACACATTATACTGACATACAGTAACATGACACACCACCCAGACACATTATACTGACATACAGTAACATGACACACCACCCAGACACATTATACTGACATACAGTAACATGACACACCACCCAGACACATTATACTGACATACAGTAACATGACACACCACCCAGACACATTATACTGACATACAGTAACATGACACACCACCCAGACACATTATACTGACATACAGTAACATGACACACCACCCAGACACATTATACTGACATACAGTAACATGACACACCACCCAGACACATTATACTGACATACAGTAACATGACACACCACCCAGACACATTATACTGACATACAGTAACATGACACACCACCCAGACACATTATACTGACATACAGTAACATGACACACCACCCAGACACATTATACTGACATACAGTAACATGACACACCACCCAGACACATTATACTGACATACAGTAACATGACACACCACCCAGACACATTATACTGACATACAGTAACATGACACACCACCCAGACACATTATACTGACATACAGTAACATGACACACCACCCAGACACATTATACTGACATACAGTAACATGACACACCACCCAGACACATTATACTGACATACAGTAACATGACACACCACCCAGACACATTATACTGACATACAGTAACATGACACACCACCCAGACACATTATACTGACATACAGTAACATGACACACCACCCAGACACATTATACTGACATACAGTAACATGACACACCACCCAGACACATTATACTGACATACAGTAACATGACACACCACCCAGACACATTATACTGACATACAGTAACATGACACACCACCCAGACACATTATACTGACATACAGTAACATGACACACCACCCAGACACATTATACTGACATACAGTAACATGACACACCACCCAGACACATTATACTGACATACAGTAACATGACACACCACCCAGACACATTATACTGACATACAGTAACATGACACACCACCCAGACACATTATACTGACATACAGTAACATGACACACCACCCAGACACATTATACTGACATACAGTAACATGACACACCACCCAGACACATTATACTGACATACAGTAACATGACACACCACCCAGACACATTATACTGACATACAGTAACATGACACACCACCCAGACACATTATACTGACATACAGTAACATGACACACCACCCAGACACATTATACTGACATACAGTAACATGACACACCACCCAGACACATTATACTGACATACAGTAACATGACACACCATCCAGACACATTATACTGACATACAGTAACATGACACTCCACTCAGACACATTATACTGACATACAGTAGCATGACACTCCACTCAGACACATAATACTGACATACAGTAACATGACACTCCACTCAAGACACATTATACTGACATACAGTACCATGCCACTCCACCCAGACACATTATACTGACATACAGTAGCATGACTCCACTCAGACACATAATACTGACATACAGTACATGACACTCCACTCAAGACACATTATACTGACATACAGTAACATGACACGCCACCCAGACACATTATACTGACATACAGTAGCATGACACACCACCCGTTACATGATACTGACTATGGGCTAACCAGAGGAAAGTTAACAGATAAATATATGAGATAAATAATATTTGCAGTGAATAGTTATTACCGGTCTAATTTATGTTCTGCCTGCTGTAAAACATCTTGTAGTTTATCTTCGGACTTCTTCAGCTTGGACTGGTAATCCTGAACACATTTCTTCAAAACTTCTTCATTCTGAAACAAAAATATGTGAAATTAAGGTACAGTCAGACTTCAATTGATCTTGAGTTTACATATTGTGCTCACAACTCAAAATCAACCCTGGACTTTATGTCCGGTGAAAGTGGCATACTAATTATATTTATATGGCTGTTCATTCTTTGATAGATACATCTTTCAACATTTATCTGCTACTAAACTTATACATTTCTTGATACAGCTCTTTGTAAAATCAAAATGTGGAGCAACTGTTCATAAAACTGATTTCATGCTCAAACTCTGTGGTAATACACTTAAATTTACAAAGGTATTTACAAACTATTTGTCTTATATACGGGTACCATTCCAAAATTTTGTGCTAACTTTTTCATTCCATTGATATCGGCGAGTTCCAAGGTATTTATTTGGTTAATGCAAATCATTTGAAGTTCCAGGGTTTAACCCTTTCAACACTGTAGACCATAATGGACTCATCCAGATCAATGCATGGTAGAGTCTACTAAAGTTACATAGGGATGAAACGGTTAATGAATAGGAGACCAGGCACAGGGATTATGAAACAGTCTCAAACAATAGTCTGAATTTCAACTGTAAATTAAATCAAACTTTTTCCAGCCTAATACAACTTTTTTTTAATATCTTATGTTATCTAAGGTTACAAATATGGGAACTAACCTTTTTGAAGCCTTCAACAACCCCTTTGGTTTTTTCATAACGTCGATGGAGATCGGAGAAGGCCATCTCTACTGACTGCAGATCCTCCAAGGCCTAAACATACAACAAATAAACATTTATGTCTCTGATAGATACTAAATGGTTGATTGGTTCAATTACACTAACAGATCACAACAGGCCATACAGGTTAACACTGTCATTACAGGCCATACAGGTACACACTGTCATTACAGGTGGTTATACAGGTACACACTGTCATTACAGGCCATATAGGTAAACACGGTCATTACAGGCCATACAGGTAAACACTGTCATTACAGGCTATAAAGGTAAACACTGTCATAACAGGCCATACAGGTACACACTGTCATTACAGGTGGTTATACAGGTACACACTGTCATTACAGGTGGTTATACAGGTACACACCGTCATTACAGGCCATACAGGTTAACACTGTCATTTCAGACACTACAGGTTAACACTGTTATTACAGGTTATACAGGTAAACACTGTCATTACAGGCCATACAGGTACACATTGTCATTACAGGCCATATAGGTAAACACTGCCATTACAGGCCATATAGGTAAACACTGTAATTACAGGCTATACAGCTAAACACTGTGATTACAGGCCATACAGGTACACACTGTCATTACAGGCCATATAGGTAAACACTGTGATTACAGGCCATACAGGTTAACACTGTTATTACAGGCTATACAGGTACACACTGTCATTACAGGCACTAAAGGTACACACTGTCATTACAGGCCATATAGGTTAACACTGTCTTAATAGGCCATACAGGTACACACTGTCATTACAGGCCATACAGGTTAACACTGTCATTACAGGCCATACAGGTACATACTGTCATTACAGGCACTACAGGTACACACTTTCATTACAGGCCATACAGGTTAACACTGTCTTAACAGGCCATACAGGTACACACTGTCATTACAGGTGGTTATACAGGTACACACTGTCATTACAGGCCATATAGGTAAACAAGGTCATTACAGGCCATACAAGTACACACTGTCATTACAGGCCATGTAGGTAAACACTGTCATTACAGGCCATACAGGTACACACTGTCATTACAGGTGGTTATACAGGTACACACTGTCATTACAGGTGGTTATTCAATTACACACTGTCATTACAGGCCATACAGATTAACACTGTCATTACAGGTCATACAGGTTAACACTGTCATTACAGGCCATATTGGTAAACACTGTCATTACAGGCCATATAGGTAAACACTGCCATTACAGGCCATATTGGTAAACACTGCCATTACAGGCCATTTAGGTTATTACTGTCATTACAGGCCATATTGGTAAACACTGTCATTACAGGCCATATAGGTAAACACTATCATTACAGGTCATACAGGTACAGGCCATATTGGTAAACACTGTCATTACAGGTGGTTATTCAATTACACACTGTCATTACAGGTTATACAGGTAAACACTGTCATTACAGGTGGTTATTCAATTACACACTGTCATTACAGGCAACATAGGTTAACACTGTCATTACAGGCTATACAGGTTAACATTGTCATAAAAGGCCATACAGGTTAACACTGTCATTACAGGTTATACAGGTACACACTGTCATAACAGGCCATACAGGTAAACACTGTCATTACAGGCCATATAGGTAAACACTGTCATTACAGGCCATATAGGTAAACACTGTCATTACAGGTCATAAAGGTACACACTGTCATTACAGGCCATACAGGTAAATACTGTCATTACAGGTGGTTATACAGGTACACACTGTCATTACAGCCCATATAGTTCAACACTATCATTACAGGCCATAAAGGTACACACTGTCATTACAGGCCATACAGGTTAACACTATCATTACAGGTCATACAGGTACACACTGTCATTACAGGCCATAAAGGTAAACACTGTCATTACAGGCCATATAGGTAAACACTGTCATTACAGGCCATATAGGTAAACACTGTCATTACAGGTCATAAAGGTACACACTGTCATTACAGGCCATACAGGTAAATACTGTCATTACAGGTGGTTATACAGGTACACACTGTCATTACAGCCCATATAGTTCAACACTATCATTACAGGCCATAAAGGTACACACTGTCATTACAGGCCATACAGGTTAACACTATCATTACAGGTCATAAAGGTACACACTGTCATTACACAATTACACACTGTCATTACAGGCAACAGGCCATATAGGTAAACACTGTCATTACAGGTCATAAAGGTACACACTGTCATTACAGGCCATACAGGTTAACACTGTCATTACAGGCCATACAGGTACACACTGTCATTACAGGTGGTTATACAGGTACACACTGTCATTACAGCCCATATAGTTAAACACTATCATTACAGGCCATATTGGTAAACACTGTCATTACAGGCCATTTAGGTAAACACTGTCATTACAGGCCATATTGGTAAACACTGTCATTACAGGCCACATAGGTTAACACTGTCATTACAGGCTATACAGATTAAGACTGTCATAAAAGGCCATACAGGTTAACACTGTCATTACAGGTTATACAGGTACACACTGTCATTACAGGCCATATAGGTAAACACTGTCATACAGGCCATATAGGTAAACACTGTCATTACAGGCCATAAAGGTAAATACTGTCATTACAGGCCATACAAGTACACACTGTCATTACAGGGGGTTATTCAATTACACACTGTCATTACAGGCTATACAGATTAGACTGTCATAAAAGGCCATACAGGTTAACACTCTCATTACAGCTTATAAAGGTACACACTGTCATTACAGGCACTACAGGTACACACTTTCATTACAGGCCATAAAGGTACACACTGCCATTACAGGCCATATTGGTAAACACTGTCATTACAGGCAATACAGGAAAACACTATCATTACTGGCCATACAGGTACATACTCTCATTACAGGCCATACAGGAACATACTGTCAATACAGGCCATACAGGCACATACTTACAGGTGGTTATTCAATTACACACTGTCATTACAGGCACTACAGTTAACACTGTCATTACAGTTTATACAGGTACACACTGTCATCACAGGCCATACAGGTACACAGTACCATTACAGGACATACAGGTACATACTGTCATTACACGCCATACAGGTAAACACTATAATTACAGGCCATACAGGTTCACACTATCATTACAGGCCAAAAAGGTACACACTGTCATTACAGGCAATACAGGAAAACACTATCATTACTGGCCATACAGGTACATACTGTCATCACAGGCCATACAGGTACACACTATCATTACTGGCCATACAGGTACATACTGTCATTACACGCCATACAGGTAAACACTATAATTACAGGCCATACAGGTAAACACTTTCAATACAGGCCATACAGGTTAAATTAACACTGTCATTACAGGTGGTTTTAGAGGTACACACTGTCATTAGAGGCCATACAGGTTATCACTATCATTACAGGCCATAAAGGTACACAATGTAATTACAGGCCATACAGGTTCACACTATCATTACAGGCCAAAAAGGTACACACTGTCATTACAGCCTATATAGATCAACACTATCATTACAGGCCATAACGGTACACACTGTCATCACAGGCCATACAGGTAAACACTGTCATTACAGGTCATACAGGTAAACACTATCATTACAGGCCATAACGGTACACACTGTCATCACAGGCTGTCATTACAGCCCATATAGGTAAACAATATCATTACAGGCCATACAGGTACATACTGTCATTACAGGCCATACAGGTAAACACTATCATTACAGGCCATACAGGTACACAGTATCATTACAGGCCATACAGGTACATACTGTCATTACAGGCCATACAGGTTACCACTGTCATTACAGGCCATACAGGTACATACTGTCATTACAGGCACTACAGGTACACACTATCATTACTGGCCATACAGGTACATACTGTCATTACAGGCCATACAGGTTAACACTGTCATTACATGCCATACAGGTACATACTGTCATTACAGGCCATACAGGTTAACACTGTCATTACAGGCCATACAGGTGCATACTGTCATTACAGGCCATACAGGTTACCACTGTCATTACAGGCCATACAGGAAAACACTGTCATTACAGGTCATACAGGTAAACACTATCATTACAGGCCATATCGGTACACACTGTCATCACAGGCCATACAGGTAAACACTGTCATTACAGGTCATACAGGTTACCACTGTCATTACAGGCCATACAGGTAAACACTATCATTACAGGCCATACAGGTACACACTGTCATCACAGGCCATACAGGTAAACACTGTCATTACATGTCATACAGGTATCACTGTCATTACAAGTCATACAGGTATCACTGTCATTACAGGCCATCCAGGTTCAGTGTAATTTTTTGTGTTAGAACATACATTAATGCATGAAAAGACGTCACTTTTAAATGTGTACCTGTACTTGCTGCCACAAAACTTTCTTCTATTAAGAACATCCACAATTTTCAAAATCCATTATGAATTCAAACCTTTTACTTCCTCAAATGTCAACTGACATAGTGAGATATGTATTAAGGAAGAACTTGTGTGATACCAGTCCTTACCAATCTGCATTACAGAGGCAGAAATATATATGTATGAACATACAGGACTGATACCATGTTACTTATAAACACTTGTCATTATTTTGTATTGAACTGTTTAAGGGAATTGCTTCATGCTAGACATAGCCTTGTTCTGGTAAATTAATACTACCAATTAAATTACTACAGACTCAATTTTCTTTGGGATAATCTAACATCAACACCAAGATTTATATCATACAATATGATATGCATTTTACCCTTCAACATAGTAAGTAGTTTGTTTTACAAGTCATGACCTTGAAATCAGATCCATTGCCATGACCTTGAACTATGATTCAGTTTCATGACTTTGACCTCTGATCCTGTGTCATAACTTTGAACTCTAGCCAAATGTCATAACCAAACACAGATCCATTGATACAAACTTGAACTCCAGTGTCACGACCTTGCACTCACCTGGTCCCTCTCCTTAACTATATCTTCCATAGACTGCTGAGATTCTGTACATGATTTTTCCTTTTCCGCTGAAAGAATATAAATCCAATGTATATAATAATATTTTACTAGGTTAGTAGACATTAGTGGTATAATCCTCAGTTACACTTTGTCATGACATATTGGTATTGGTAAAAGTCTCTGGCATCCACAGTGTCCCCTTTAACTGGTAACACAGCATGGCAATTTTTTTATTTTTTTTCAAAAAGGTTATCTTTATCTTCGTCCTTAGTTTGAAATACACAGTGAAACCTATCCCAGCCCAAGGTAATCCGACAATGTTTTTATTACATTTGTGATGAGCACTACAGTAGGACCCATGTATTTTGACATCTTATCTAAGCTAACCAATTTGTGTCACACAGGTATTCAGCCTACACTGATATCACAGCAGTAAACACAGAAAATATACTTACCCTGTAATTGGGCGATCGTTTTTTCAAACTCGGTCACAACACACCTGTATCAGGAAAGTCAATATCTTTATGTCAAACTTTTGTGAGCTCAAATATTTCAAAATCGTTCTTTACTGCAATGTTTCAGATGACACATGATATTGAATGTATAGGCTTTTTATGGTGATTCATTAAAGTTGGTCTGGATTCCTCCAGATTTTTAAGGGAGTATTTCAAAATGCATTTGGAGAACTCAAGAAAAAAATAGGATTTGCTGAAATTCATTTGGATAATTGAATTTTCATCATGAACAACATTGATCACTATTGTTTATAGATGATACCTTACATGACTAACCATATGTATTTATGTCGGATATGGATATTCTACCCGAGGCTGGTAGTAGAATTTGGATCAGAACAAGGGCTTTTCCAAATTTTGCACCTAAGGTTAGAATATATCCATTCCACCATAATGAACGACTCCTTTTTTCCACCTCTTAACTGAAATTTTGGTACAATGCAAATGCAACACTTAATATAGCAAAATTTCTTGATAACTTATACACGCCCTAAGGCCATATTTGGAAAGAGCAGAAAAAGTACAGCAAAATATAGGTATTCCTGAAATATAAAGATCTATGCAAGAACCTTAGGGTAAGCTTCAGTACAAGATTTTCAAGGGTGTTCCACATGGGACATGTGTATCTTTCATCCATAGAGATGGGATGAATGGTTTATACCTCATGAACAAAAACATGAACATAGTTTCTACCTCATGAACAGCAAATGATCATAGATTATACCTCATGAACAACAAATGATCATAGATTATACCTCATAAACAACAAATGATCATAGATTATACCTCATGAACACGAAATGATCATAGATTATACCTCATGAACAGCAAATGATCATAGATTATACCTCATAGACAACAAATGATCATAGATTATACCTCATGAACAGCAAATGATCATAGATTATACCTCATGAACAGCAAATGATCATAGATTATCCCTCATGAACAAGAAATGATCATAGACTATACCTCATAAACAACAAATGATCATAAATAATACCGCATGAACAGCAAATGATCATAGATTATACCTCATAGACAACAAATGATCATAGCTTATACCTCATAAACAACAAATGATCATAAATAATACCGCATGAACAGCAAATGATCATAGATTATACCACATAAACAACAAATGATCATAGATTATACCTCATGAACACGAAATGATCATAGATTATACCTCATAGACAACAAATGATCATAGATTATACCTCATGAACAGCAAATGATCATAGATTATACCTCATGAACAGCAAATGATCATAGATTATACCACATGAACAACAAATGATCATAGATTATACCTCATGAACACGAAATGATCATAGATTATACCTCATTAACAAGAAATGATCATAGATTATACCTCATAGACAACAAATGATCATAGCTTATACCTCATAAACAACAAATGATCATAAATAATACCTCATGAACAGCAAATGATCATAGATTATCCCTCATGAACAAGAAATGATCATAGATTATACCTCATGAACACGAAATGATCATAGATTATACCTCATGAACACGAAATGATCATAGATTATACCTCATAGACAACAAATGATCATAGATTATACCTCATGAACACGAAATGATCATAGATTATACCTCATTAACAAGAAATGATCATAGATTATACCTCATGAACACGAAATGATCATAGATTATACCTCATGAACACGAAATGATCATAGATTATACCTCATAGACAACAAATGATCATAGATTATACCTCATAGACAACAAATGATCATAGATTATACCTCATGAACAGCAAATGATCATAGAATATACCTCATAAACAACAAATGATCATGGATTATACCTCATAAACAACAAATGATCATAGATTATACCTCATGAACAACAAATGATCATAAATTATACCTCATGAACAACAAATGATCATAGATTATACCTCATAAAACACAAATGATCATGATTTATATATATCATGAACAACAAATGATTATGATTTATATATCATGAACAACAAATGATCATGATTTATACCTCATGAACAACAAATGATCATGATTTATACCTCATAAACAATGCTGATCACTATAGTTTATACCTCATAAACAACAAATGATCATGATTTATACCTCATAAATAACAAATGATCATGATTTATACCTCAAAAACAACAAATGATCATGATTTATACCTCATGAACAACAAATGATCATGATTTATACCTCATAAACAATGCTGATCACTATAGTTTATACCTCATAAACAACAAATGATCACTATAGTTTTATATCTCATTAACAACAAATGATCATGATTTATACCTCATAAACAACAAATGATCATGATTTATACCTCATAAACAACAAATGATCATGATTTATACCTCATAAACAATGCTGATCACTATAGTTTATACCTCATAAACAACAAATGATCATGATTTATACCTCATAAACAACAAATGATCATGATTTATACCTCATAAACAACAAATGATCATGATTTATACCTCATAAACAATGCTGATCACTATAGTTTATACCTCATAAACAACAAATGATCATGATTTATACCTCATAAACAATGCTGATCACTATAGTTTATACCTCATAAACAACAAATGATCATGATTTATACCTCATAAACAACAAATGATCATGATTTATACCTCATAAACAACAAATGATCATGATTTATACCTCATAAACAATGCTGATCACTATAGTTTATACCTCATAAACAACAAATGATCATAATTTATACCTCATAAACAACAAATGATCATGATTTATACCTCATAAACAACAAATGATCATGATTTATACCTCATAAACAACAAATGATCATGATTTATACCTCATAAACAATGCTGATCACTATAGTTTATACCTCATAAACAACAAATGATCACTATAGTTTATACCTCATGAACAACAAATGATCATAATTTATACCTCATGAACAACAAATGATCATGATTTATACCTCATAAACAACAAATGATCATGATTTATACCTCATAAACAACAAATGATCATGATTTATACCTCATAAACAATGCTGATCACTATAGTTTATACCTCATAAACAACAAATGATCACTATAGTTTATACCTCATGAACAACAAATGATCATTATTTATACCTCATAAACAACAAATGATCATGATTTATACCTCATAAACAACAAATGATCACTATAGTGTATACCTCATGTCGTGATTGGCCTGTTTTAAGCTCTTGCATTGATCTTCGAGGCGAGATAAATTTTTCTCTCGATCGGCAAGTTTTCGACTCCATTCCCTCTCCTTGTTGAGAAGCTTGGCTTGAAATTCTAAGTCAAGGTCTTGCTTCAGCTTATTCCACTCGGACTGTGAGTACTTCAGCACCTGTCAGAACATCAAAACTGTTATGAGATTCAGGGTATATGGAAATTAATCACCTCAACCAAGACAGTGTCTCTGGCTTTCATTAACATCTCCACTGGGACTATTGGCAGAACTGTTTAAGTAGATGTGAAAATCAATTACATACAGCTATTGTGTACACTGTTAAACACTTAACCATGACAAAGTCTAATCAGCTGCAAAAATCAGTACCAACATGCTGGTAAGTAACCCTAAGAAAGACTGGTGTCCTTCCAGAGCTCAAGGTCACCAGCTCTCAGTCAGTACACACCACAGAAACAAATCTACCACTAGTAATGCATGCAACGAAGTTCTTTTACTCTTTCTTTCCTGATGTCCAATTAATCAGTAAACATACAGCAACTTCAACTAACATTATTATCAGATTTCTAACCTACAATATTTCACTGTTCTAAAGTTTTTCAATATTTACAGAACTCATACCATGCCCTATAAACAACAAGCCTTTATTCTCTCTATCATTAGCACCAGTAACAAAAGCAAGCACATGTATGTCTAGCTGTGTCAAGAACAGGCAAAACTAAAGTTTTGTTTACGCTGAACTTGTTTTCGTGTTTCTGTAATTCAGACAATTTATTCCTGAGGAGATCCTGTGGTGAAATTAACCACAAACATTATGGACAGGTATATATAATATCTGCTTATACATGAAGTCAGAAACTGTCCATTTGTATTCCCTTTTTAATCGAAATTATCCACCATGGGAGAGAATTCCTATGCATCATAATGATGGTGTAAAAGATAATATGTGAAAGTCTTCAATATATAAACTGTGTTCTCTTTCTGAATTGGAAAGACATGTTTGGTCTAAGAGAAATGACCTCTAGATTCTAAGACTGGTATAAAGACCTGGTAAAGTACAAGACTTCTCAAGAAATAGTCATAATTCTTAAATTGCTTTAGTCAATCCTTAATCAAGGCATTTCATTTGGTTGTTATTTCTAAGATTGAAATAATAGGTCAGCTCATTCAAATACACAGCCAAACACATGATTTACCTCTGGAAAATAGTTAACCACCAACTAAGTATCATTATACATGTACCATGCAGTCAGACATTAATACCGTAATAACTTAGGTTAAACTAGATATATATATATATATATTGTTCAACAGGCAACAGAGATTACAATTGAATTCATAATAAACCAATAAAGGTCATGCTTGGCCTAAAGGTCAAACAGAGGTCATGCCCGCCATAGGTCAACAGAGAACAATACTGGGGGTAATGTCTAGTCTACAGAGGTCATATATGCCTGCCTCAAAGGTCATGAACAGAGGTCATATTACTGTATAACACAGGACTTTTTCTTTTACATCTGTTACTGTTTACCTGTAACCAATAGCTGCATGTACAACGTTAACTAACCAATCAAATCCACAAGTTCCAATATACCAGCACCAGACTATGAATGTCGGAATTTTATGGGAACAACAAACCGTGAGAGAAAGTACTTGAAATATGTTCATCTAATATTGTCAAACTTGCTCCTATGATCAGCTCTAGTAATACAACACCTGTGTAATTACAAGACCACTGTTCGCCATGGTAGCTATTTCTCTGTGAACTGAACCTGTATGACTTGCTCCTGCGATCAGTTCTAGTAATACATAACCTGTGCTGAGAGACTATTTTGCTATTAGTTATTTCTCTGTGAACTGAACCTGTATGACTTGCTCCTGCGATCAACTCTAGTAAGACATAACCTGTGCTGAGAGACTATTTTGCCATTAGTTATTTCTCTGTGAACTGAACCTGTATGAAGAGCCCCCGTGTGTTGAGAGACCATATTTTAGATTTCCTATGGGTGATCTCTATAAGCATATCTGAGTGCAGGATAACATTGTTGGGTACAATTTGAAGTGTACACTTAATTCAATCTATATAAACACATGTATTAAAGAAATCTACTTCTCCATGGATGGAAATCTGTAATTAAAAGGACAGCACAGGAAGCTTCAATGTTCCGCCAAGCTTTCTCCTTACCGGAGTGATCATGGCTAACCAGTGGATCAAGCTCTACAAAGCATCTCTGTCTCAAAACAAGTGACACTAATCTATTTCTTGTGTGCGAAGCTTGTTTTTCTCTTCTTTTGATGTAAAAAAAGTCTGCATGGTTAAATAATCTGGCCAATAAATGTACATAAATTAACGTAAAACATTGTTGTTAACTGATTCTGTTAACCCTTTCACCCCTATTGTAACTTTAGTAGACTCTACCAGCATTAATATGGATGAGTCCATTACGGTTTACAGTGGTGAAAAAGTTTAAACATGCTATAAAAAACGTTATTTCCCATTTTACTGATATATAGTCCAATGTAATATATAATAGTGGCAGTCCGGATATCTTGTATCTTTTTTTATATGTAGTTATAGTTAATGATATATAATTATTGATATACAACCATACAATGTTGTTACAAACTTTGGAAGAATATTATACGATATAGTCATTGGATATTTAAAATACTGCATATGTCCTTTAAAATAGTGATATCTGACTGTATTAGAAAAGATGTTTAAATGAATAGCACAACATGAAAAAAAAGGATTACTTACCAGTACAGATTAAATTTTATTAATTTAATCAAGTAAATTTAAAAAAGAAAATTTCAGAAATCTTTCAATAACTTGTGAGTGAAATGTGATCAAATTGAAGAATACAACGTGATGTTACTTTTAATTTGCTCTAACAAAATCTTTGTGTGAGTGTCCACATGCCCTCTATTCCGTCTTTTCGTATTGCAGAGTTATCTGCTCTTGTGAGCAGGTATTGATTGTTATGTCATTTGTTTGTGAGAGTAATGTCATCGATTTTTGAGAAAACGACATAATTTTCTCACACAAACCAATGACGTAACAATCAATACCTGCTCACAAGAGAAGATAACTCTGCAATACGCAAAGACGGAATAAGGCCCACAATTGGTTTTCTATCTTCTGCAAATATTCACAAAACTTAAAGTACTGTAGGTGTATTTTGTAATCTGACTGAAGAGTTATCAATATATTAATGAGTATTTACTCTCATTTCAAGAATATTGGATTTCTGATTTAAAATAGTTATTGATGTTATTGTAAAAAGACTTGTTAAAACTTATAAGAAGAGTGAAACCCACATAATCTTCAACAACGACCAAACCTTCTATCAGATTTGAAGCAGAGATATATGCAGAAAATTAAAGTTATCTCATTTTTTGCACAAAAACTCAATTTTTCAAGAAATGTTGCTCAATATCTCAAAACTTGGAAAAGATAACCCTGCATCACCCTTAATTTTCAACAACCATCACCGTAACAGGAACTTGATGTTAGCGAGTCAATTGTACTCTTGATATTTGGTATAGGGGGTCAAGGTCATATTTAAAAATAGCCTTATGGGTGAACCCTATTTTGAAATATAAATATATCAGAACATCAGACCTTGTGTCAGGGTCTTGTTAGATTGTTATTTGGCATGTACATGTATTCTACATAACCAGTGCCTTAACCTATGAACCTCTTTGGTTATAGTATAGAATTAATTGAACCCACTGGATATCCTTTACTCAAAGTCGTTTAAATATCTTTTTTTGTGTGCTTTTGGACTGCTGTTGCACAAATCCTTTAATAAGAACAATATGTGTTACATAAACTGAGCTTTTTCCCCCATTATGACCTTGACCCACTATGTAAAACAGTTGATTCCCTTCCATGAGATTTCCAATTTTTGACCTGGCCTGTCCAGGCTGACATGCGATGTATCATACATTCTATTAGCAGTCACGTCAGGTAATCTCTTCAACTGCTCATATTTCTTACCAGTTTAATTTCACATATGAAAATTTTAAATATTTCATAAAATTTTAGTTACCAAATATGGTGGGTGTTAGGGATCAGCTGTGTTATGTGAAGGGTTGGAATGCAATCATTCTGAATGGGGGGGATTGAGGAGAGGGAAAGTAAAGGAGAGCCTTATAATGAATTAAGTGCTGGATCCCATGGGGCTCCAACTGGACAGTTTGTTTGCAGTTAGAAGCATCATCACACAGAATGTACAGTACTGTTGTACTGGTATACTCTACCTGTAGACTGTTTTCCTGCGGGAACAATCATGTAATACCATTTATATTAAAATCATAAAACGTATCTACAATATTACTGAGGTCAGTGATAGTCCCATGCTTGACAATAAACCGGCTCCCTTATTTAACAGTTCTATAAATAGAAATGATCTCTAATGTGTTCTTAGCACATGCAATTTTTTTTTTAAATTCATGAATTATAAAAGTGCACATGACAAGGGAATGAGTTTGACTTCTTTAATTAACCTAACTACATCAAATATCATGTTCAAACAACCTGAAAAGCAAAAGATTAACTTTCATGTTATAGATCTTAAATGTATCTGAAAAATGCTAATTATTTTTGTTCAATGTAGCAATAAATTTCCTAAATCATTGCCAGGCAATATTTCTGTCAGCAGAATATCAACTTTTCAACCAATCACTGCACTTTGTTCCACCTACAGATCTGTATTTCAAGGTTACCGCTGGAATATTTTCCTCAATTACCAGTCAAATTCGGAACTGGGAGTAACATCAGATTTACATAAGAACACTATCATAAAGGTATAATATTACCAAAGATGTTTTCTCCACAGATGAATTGCCTATGTGCATACCTGGTAGCCACTCTAAATATCAAATTTTGAAGCGAGTCATTTAGAAATACAATTTAGGGGAAAGTCTTTTTTAATTTTTTAATTCCAATTTAACTAAATATGATATTGAAGAGCCTTCCATACTCCCGAGGAGGGGGCATGATAGACCCTCCCTCTCAGTACTGTATCAGGTACTTACTTGTACGAGTTGTACCACAGACTCGGTATTCTCCATCTTGTAACCGCTTCGATCACCTTCCCCATCACTCTGTCAACAACAACAAATCAGTTTTCTTTTAATTCTTGGAAAAAAATTGTCCTCTTTTTTCTGTAATTCCCACGTTATTTGCAAAATGGTTTGTCATAATTCAATTTGAACTTTTCTTCTCTAATCAATTTATTCAACTGTAAACAAGATTTTCTGTAGATTTTTCCTGTATGGTTGTAATTGACAACCTGTCACAAATTAAACTGTATAGCGTTCAACAATCTCCAGCTAACATGAACATGATTTTGTCAGATAACTATCACAAATAAGATTATGTTAGACCACCAATTGAGATTTCACAAAATGAACAGCTCATTGTTCATGAAGAATGTAAGCCATTTGGCTGGCACAATTGACAAAACAGCTGCAAACAACAAAACTGGAAAGTAGAATGACATAATACTAGCTATTACAAATATTGGGAATTTTTTCCAAGTCAAATTTTCGCCCTGCGCTGGTATAATCAATTTTCGCCCTGCGCTGGTATAATCAATTTTCGCCCCATGCTTTTTTTGCCTTCACATCTGATTGCTATATGTTTATCAAATCGCTTACTTCTATTCGCTGTAATGATAAATTTGCCCTCATCATATAATTACGGAGGGCGAAAAAGCCAAAAACAAAACTGTGGCGAAAATTTCCGATCATGTTTAAATTTATTATGAACACAGGTGGTAGTACAGTAAAACTTTGTTATACTGCCACCATTTGTCCAGTGACAGTTTGGCATTATAAAGGGAATGGGGGATACACAGAGGAAGAAATATATAATGAACTCTGGGTAAAAGGGGACACTCAAATATACTGACAATAAACAAGATGGTAATAAAACAAATGGCGTTATATTGAGGTTTTACCATATTGAACTTTTCCACAAAACAAAGTCCTATATATATGTCCCTGGCCAAAAATTGTCAGATGGATATTAAAATCTATTTTGTCTATACTAGGGCTTTGCTTTAAACATTTCACTGTGTATACTTTCATTCTCCTATAACTTACATCACTCCAGCTCCACAACATTTTTTTTACAACAAATTGTTATTTGACATTGCCATGCTCTGTGATGTCTGCCCGGTGTGCGATGTCGTAATATTTTACAAATAATTCTGTCGCAGTTGGAAATGTCAAACATGCCATTCAACATAAAAAAAAGTTCAATAAATGTGTTATGAGAGGAACAAAACATTCAACTCATGATAACTGGCCAAGTTTAATTTCAAGTCTGATGAGTTTAACTCATTCCTTACTGAAGACACATTTGAACTCTTCCAATTCAAAGGTTGGAAAAGCTCATCATGAAATTTTAGGGGTGAATGAGTTAATATCAAAACAATCTTTTTGTGCTCACAGAATATAAGTGACAATGAACTTAACTGGATAAAAACATCACAATCAATCAGCACTTAGACATCCTATATAGTAATACAGCTGTACATCCTGATAGTGGGACACTGTGAGAATCAGCTGTATACAAAACATCACAATCAATCAGCACTTAAGACATCCTATATAGTAATACAGCTGTACATCCTGGTAGTGGGACACTGTGAGAATCAGCTGTATACAAAACACTACCCCTACCCATATATACACAGCCAAACCTGTACTCACCAAACCATTTTAGACTCTCCCCAACTTATAATCACCGACTTAAAATCACCGGACCATTTTCTGTCACTCTCTACCAGCCTCATGTCGCTACATCTGAATCATCAGGTGCCATATGGTTGAGTTATGTATACCAGGGATGGGCCGAGGGTTGTTAGAGGGAGGGGTGGATGTGGGGAACGCTGCACAAATGATATCAGTGACTTTATAGCTTCACAATCAAACACTAAGGAAATGGGGTTGGGATTTCTTCTTTTAGTCTTCACTTTTTAAAATTGTTATAAGAGTTCAGTCAAATGCCTGATAAAAGAATTAAGTCATGTCTTTGATTAATGCTCAGATCAGAGACTTAATTACATACCATCGTTTTCAATCGAGTCCGATAATACCAGAAAGACACCAATCAACAGAGAATTTACAACTAACCTACAATTTCACTCTAACATATATTGTACTGATTACATGTATAAACTATCAGCAAGATTCTAATATTAACTAGAACATATATTCAAAGTTGACAAGAATGATTATTACCGGTACTCTAAACTGGCTAACATAAAGCTTACCCAATTATCTCACTTTTACATGGATATTCACTCGACTTGTAGAGTAAATGATGATGACACTGATACCATGAGGCTATTTTTTTTATTCCATGAAGGCAGGTAATTCCTATCACAGCTGTTTCTCATGACTAATAGACACCTGCTTCATGACAATACATTGTATCAAGTAGCAGGAATGACAAGAGAGAATGATTTACAAAAATCAATCCTACGTATAATTTTTAGGAGATTAACCACCACTGTGTGTTACCATAAACACTTACGACACTGTCCTCACACGGTTTTGTCGAAGCTGAACCTCCCATCACACATATCACCACGACAACTTGGTCATCCGGAAGTTAATGTCAGGATCAAACAGACCCGTTCACTATCATACATACATGAAAATAGAGTAACATCACTGATCCGAACACATCAACTTATTTCAAAACCTATTACTATCTTAAATGATGTGCAAAATTAGCTGTATCCAGTTTCTGTCCAACAGTGAAACAAACGATCGGATATACATCTTAGTGATAATGAGGTTTGTGCCTGTAACATTTATACATTGAAATGAAGTACGTCCCTAAAGATACTTGACAGGAAGGTACAAAGTACAAGTCATATGTGTTTATACGCCATGATGAAAACAGAATTATTGACCCATGCTGTAAAAATACATAAGTACCAAATCTTTATACACATGTGTACAACACATAACCCAAATATCCCCCCAATACACACGTGTACTGTAGCCACTGTACACACATGTACACAGCCAGTGTTCAGTAAGTATCAGTAAGCTTGCATGCAGCCAAGTCAAAATTTAACGTAACATAAAAAACCTGGTCATGCCTGTTTTCTTCGTTTCTCAGTTTTAATCCTGTTACCAGCTGCTGTGTTCCGTTGCATTGCTCAAGATTTCACAGCATAAAACTAGGAGTCCCCTTCAGACACATGTAACATGTTGAGGCAATTGATTTTCTGCTGGAAATATTTCAGGTAATACAGAAAAGTAGCTGATCCTGTGAGCTTTCTATTATAAATGCTGATAGGATTCTGGGTTAAGGATGAGTTGCCTTAAATCATTATTCTGATTTTCAGTGACGTAATTATTGATCACAAGATCATCAGAGATAGTCTGCTATACTGCAGTGCGTTCTAGCTGACACAGCCATCACAGATACCTCCTATATACATATGCATTTAGTGTCAGTTGGCCATCAGTATCTCAATATGAAGGGGTCGATATATCACACTGCACAACTCAATTTCTCAATCCTGGTGTCAATATCTTGATCGAGGCGTCAATATCTCTGTCTACATACCAGTATCTAAATCTACTCATCAATATCTCTGTCAGGGAGTCAACATTTCAGTCCTGGTGTCAATATCTTTATCGAGGCATTAATATCTCTGTCAGGGAGGCAACATTTCAGTCCTGGAGTCAATATCTTTATCGAGGCGTCAATATCTCTGTCTACATACCAGTATCTAAATCTACTCATCAATATCTCTGTCTACATACCAGTATCTGAATCTACGCATCAATATCTCTGTCAGGGAGTCAACATTTCAGTCCTGGTGTCAATAATACCACCAATGTGTCAATAACTAGTCCGGGAGTAAATATTTCTGTCAAGGAATCAATACCTCATTCCTTGAACAAATATCTTAGCCCTCAATATATTTTTTCACTCTTGGAGTCCATATTTCAGGTTGTGAGTCAATATCTCAGTCCAAAAGTCTATCCATGAGTCAACATTTCAATCCTGATGTCAATATCTTAGTCTGAGTCATTATCTTTGCCAAGGGCAAATTATCACAGCCATGTCTCAACCTAAGACTAAATTTAGTACATGTATCACTGCCCAGAGAGTAAATATATTTGTCTAGGGGTCAATAAATAAGTGCAAGGGCCAGTATATTTGTCCTGGGGTCAATAAATAAGTGCAAGGGCCAGTATATTTGTCCTGGGATCAATGAATAAGTACAAGGGCCAGTACATTTGTCCTGGGATCAATAAATAAGTGCAAGGGCCAGTATATTTGTCCTGGGTCCAATGAATAGGCCAAAGATTAATATATTTGCACAAGTCAATAACTGTATACATTAGTCAATAACTGTATCAACTAGTCAATTAATGTATCCATCGGTCATTTGCTATATTCATCACTCAACTACTGTATTCAATAACTATATCCAGAGACCAATTAGTGTTAAAGTTCAGGGGTCAATATCACCATGAAAGGCTTTATTATTCTGTCAATGTTATAACTTGGTCTAGTTGCTAAAAAGTCTGGTCAAAGGTCAATATTAGAGTTAAGGTTCTTATACCAGATCAATCCATCAATTGGGTAATTACTCTTTCCTATGGTCCGTATGATTGTCATGAGGTTTTTGATATGATCTAGGAGTGCTGCTACCTTACTTCTCACATCATCATAATTACTATAACTGATATTTAAGACATAAACTCATTTTGAAATATAACTAGTGTTTCATTATACACTCAATAACAGAAAAAAAATTAGACAACAAAGTCCATAGTATCCTAGCTGGTTACAAAACTTCTATTTTTCTTTCTTACGTCAAACTTGAATGTCTTTAAAACTTCCATGAATTTAATAGATTTTAATACAAATTCAATGTCTCCATCAGGTATATCAAATTTCATCTACAACAAACCTCCTCAGCAGTATAAATCGTACTGATATTCTACATCTGTTTGATTTTCACTGACTTAGCATCACTACCATACAATTCCTGATAGATCAAATACTTTTTTTAATTTATTTTTAGTCACATTTTCTAATTTATTCTGATTATAGGTAGATGAAAAAAGAAAAGGTCCCAACTCCATTGATAAAGAAAAATTAATCATGTTTCTTTATATTGAATTTATAATTATAGTATTCAAAAAGTAATATCCTTAAACCAAATCAAAATGAAAATAAGTCTACCAGTACAAGCTTGGTATGTAGTTATAAGTCTGGGTGGATATGATCAAATTATCTCCCCTTAGACCATCACAGAGTCTATTTTTCCAATTAACTGTTTCCAAATCCTCTACCTAATTGAAATTTAGGATGTACCCTTATTTATTTTTTGGCTTATTTTAACAAGCACTGACAATGTCTGGAATGCTGTATTTATATAACTTTTATGAAAATATTTACAAAATAAAGTTTTGCCTACCCTCCTTTTCCGAGCAAAATTTTAAAGATGACTGCAATATGTAGTAGTCCATGGTAGCAAAATTTATAAAATGGTGGTGGTTTTTTGTGTATTTTGTCTGTGTGGTGTTTTTATAAAGCAGTATGTCAACATATTGTCTTTCGAGGAAAATACTTTTCTTATAAAGTTGCAGCTCACCTAAATCATGAAAAGAATATTTATACATATACCGTATAAACATTTTTTTTTTTAAATCTGACCTAAATGTGCATATCAGTTTGACTAGCTTGGTTAATAATTTGAAGCCTGTATTTTATATTTAGTAACCAAATTAAATCAAAAAGATATTGTAAAGAAATAAAGCTGGAAGTAAATCAATGCCTGTAAATGAAATAAATAAAATGCACTGGGTAATAGATCACTACAATTAAATATGGTTTAAGGTATAAATGGACATTTATCTGTCACATGCAATAAAGCCGACCAGTCATGCATATCCATTCCATGCAGTTACAAGCCTTACTAGAGAAAAGTGGAAACAATAATATAGAAAAGGTATTCTTACTAAAGAAACAATGATATCTATCTATAAAACGAAAGTTGGACAGCAATATCTGGCCTCTCCAGTGTAAAGAAATACAAAAACTTCCTAAACATTTTGCATCAATACAGCTGTAAAATCAAATTTTATTAAAAATATTTTTTTTCTTCTTAAAATCACATTCCAAACTCTTAACACATCATTGAAAATGTATGCTCTAATTAATAATTCACATATCTTAATTTGTATTTACTCCAACTACGAAAATAACTTTTACTGTAAATATAAGACATGCTAAAAGATTTCGAAAAAGATTTCCATTACGATGGAGTTTAACGTCGAGGCTTTTCCGACACCTATATAAATACAATGCATGGCGTTAGTGTTAGCAAAAGCAGGCAAAGAGGATATAGGGTATACACAAAGGCTTGACTGGACTCCATAACTCTCCAATACCTTTGAGCCTCTAGAGTTACGACCCCTGGCAGTAGGTGGAAAGTCATAAGCATCGTAATATCTGGTACCATCAATTTCATCGGGTGGCGACTGCAGCTACCGACAAAAAACAAGGTCAGGAGAAATTGATCATCGGTTGGACATCGTTAAACAGCAGCAAAACCTTCAGTAGATAAATAACACTGACCGAAAAAATGACCTGGAATAATGCTAAGCATCTATTAAGCAAAACACACACAACCATTACAAGCTTGTACACATGGCGTCTAACTAAGCTTGAATATTTCTGTTTCCCTTAAAAAAAAAATCCAACGGTAATGCAGACAAGCAATTTCCTCATCATTTGGCATGTATCCTAAACACCTAACAATCTGTTTACTAATTCCAGCTATTGTGTAGAGATCTGACCCCAGTTGACACTGGAAAGACATCTGGAATCCATCCATGTTCACCGGCACATTTATTTTGATACTTTATAGATCTCTCTGAGGATCAGGGCGGAGTCATAACTAACTTCCTTGACAATATCCTTAAAGCAGGGCCAACAAACAGTAGCTTTGTCGTTTTTAACTGATATTAAAATTACTGTCAATGCAAGTTAGCGTCAACATTCTCCAATATTTTTCTTTCAAATACAGGTATTTGCTTGAGCTTTGCTTGGAGTAATGTTCTTTAATCATTATTTTCATTTTTATTTTTTATGTTTTATAGGCTTAATTGAAATTTGAAATTTGAAACTTAGAACATGGCTCAATGAAGCAAATGTTTGGATAAATTTTTGAATTAATGTACATCCAATTCCATCCACTTATATATCAATGGGGTTTGTATATGAGTTAAACTTTGTTTCCTAGTCAACCATTTGAATAAAAATGTAAGGTAGGTGAAATGTTTCATTCTGAAAGTAATTTTGAAAGGACTAGAATAATATTTTATGCTTATAATTGAATATCACAAATGAGACAGTTTACTTTTGACTAGTAGCAATAAACCTATTGTTAAACCAACATGGTTATCAAGCAAGAAGACCAATGCTTATGATGTAAATGACTTAATGAAATTTATGATAACTCTTGGAAATTTTAAATTATGTACGATAAACTATAGAAAATGTTTTTCAGAAGAGAAAACTTCAGAATGAAGTATATAGATGTCTAAACTGGCATTAAAACATTCTGCTGATTGTGAAATTCAACTTCTGAAAAAGGACAGACCTTGTCTAAGACATCTCAAAAAATGGAGAAATGAATCTTGGTGAATGAGAATAATGAAATTTTGTGACACTTGGTAATCAGTTTGATGAACCATTGAAAGAGTTCTTCCAAAGAAACAGACATAAGAAAGAAGTGAATTTCCTGAGCCTGATAAACGAGTTTTACTACATAATCTGTGATATCATTAACAATGACAAGAAAGTTACAAAGAAACAACTCGCAACATCATCAAAGGGAGATAATATTCTTATTTCACCAAAGGAGAGCCAGATATAAAAATATTAAAAAAATGAATAAATAGATAGGACATAAGCAAAATGTGACGTTGTGATGAAGAGATTGCGAAACGAAATGATTGAAACATGAACAAAGGGAGATAATAAATATAACTGATTGTCAATCTATGGTTACACATCATTATTTTTACCAAAAAGATTTTATGTATTTTATAGAATTATCAAAAAGATAGATATTTTTTTCACATTTACACTGAAAGATTGCAAAGAACATAATTTCACAAATGGGAAAGTTATGCCTTTCAGTTAACTTTTATTGTATAGGTACATTTATCTGCTTTTCCATACAGTTTATGAAAGATAATTTTTGCCTTTTGGTACAATCTCAATGTAGAATTCAACATAAAGAGCTGGAAACTGCTTAGCCGAAATTCATTTGAAGAACTTAGAGGCTCCCGATGGCCATGGGTATCAGTGTCCTGTCCCCTGAGTTTGTGCTACATGGCAGAGAGGCTCTCGATGGCCATGGGTATCAGTGTCCTGTCCCCTGAGTTTGTGCTACATGGCAGAGAGAGTATGTGTTGAGTGTAACAGTGAGACAACATGAAATACCTCTCCAGAGAACACAAAGTAAACAAGGATTCTTATTTAACAAATATCTACAATTACAGAATAACATATATTATTTTAGTTATATTTTGTTTCGGTAAACACAAAAAGGGTATAAAATATTTTTATGAGCCGAAATATTTCTAGCTGTAAGTTTTATTGATAATTACATGAGAAGTATCTACAAAGTATGTTACCTCTAACTGATATATAACAGTACACTGTCATAACAAATACATTCTAGAGAATAACAGTAACCACATTCAAGTTATTCAAATGTTTGACCTCAGTTTCTGTTTTATATTGTAGTAAAAGTAAATGAATAATTTTGAATGGACCGACACAATTCTAACAACTTACAATATTTATTCAACATGAAAGGATTTTTTTTACAATGTGTTATACAATATGTGAGTGAATTTACATTATGTTTATTGTACAAGTATATAAAATTCCTATATGAAATATAAACAACAGTGCTGCTGGGGCGGAACAATGTACGCCCATCCAATGCCATGCACAGGAATTGTTCACCTTTGAAGTTAGCTTTGTCTTGGTATACTTTGAACACTTAAGTAAGCTTGAATTATGTTTTTGCAAAATTTGAATTTGCCAATGAGTGCCTCTTGGTGAATTAACACAAAGAATAAACTCTTGCAAATATACAGTAATTCATCTGTTCCTTATAGTTCCTTATATAAGCCTGCCATTATCTATTTTTAAAAATTCTGTACCAATTTTGAATAGGTTTGTTTAATTTGTTTGTTTCCCTGAAGCAGTTTCTTAGAGAAAAAAATAAATTATTTAAACTTTTTACATGTGAAATAACTTCTCATAGGACAGTAAATGTGTCCCTATCAACACTCCAATCAGTATTGAGATACAGTAGGATCCATAACCCCTTCTAAAGCATGTTTAAAGGGTACGAACATTATATCACTGTTGTTAGGTTGACACTATTGACAATAATCCGTCCGTATAAATAATTAATTTTAATTCAGGAAAACAGCATCACCTAACCAATGTACAGTCACATACCTTTGTGTACTAAGGAAGCTAACAGTGCTGAGTAAGATATGACTTTTTCTGGGCATTTCTTTCTCTTTCATTATCCCTGTACAATATCAAAATTAAACACATTTTCCTCTTCTGAATGTGAGTAGGATTTTCTTTACCATATTTGGTGGTATAAAACTGACAAAAAACTGTGATAAATTACGTTGAAATTTTGTACATAAATCATTTGTACAATTCAGTGAACAAAACAAACAAAAAATCCCAACAAGATGGACATAAGCTAGGGTGATGCCATGACGGTCTTCAGGCTCTTTATCATGCTCTAACTGTAATATCAATGGCCTAGCTCATATTTCATAAATCGACTTTCTGAAGTTAAAAATCTTATCAAACAAAATTTCACAAACCATACCACATTTCATATGAATCAGTCATAACATAATCTAGCAAATCTGAATATTTGTATCAAAATGAATATGTTCTTGAAATGAGGCATTATTTGCAAACCCTTTGATATTCAATCTTTAACCATGAAAAATCTGATTTGTGAAAAGGCTGGGGACAATAACAATATCAGCATACCAAGCCGAGACTACTTATACACAAATACAACAAAAATGTAATTATAATAATTATTACACAACAATTATAATGATATCTCATATTGCAATATATAACATATGTAACCTGCATTAAACCCATGTGGCCAAAACATGATCTCTAACTCACATACGGAGGCTTGGCTTATTAATTAAACGGTGATGAAACAGCATTTGTTGGCATTTTTACTGAACTATAATAAATATTGATGGGGTAATTACCAGGCATGGGCTTATTGCCGGACAAATACGGTATGATACTTCCTCAGATCAAGGGGACAAAACCAAGCTGATTTTCATCATCTTTTCCCTTAATAATTCATCTTACAACCTACAAAATTTTATGTAAGGCAGCTTGGATTCTGATTTTTGTTTTTTCATATATCTCCAAGGGGAAAAGTTTAAGTAGAGATTTTCAGTACACTATACACTTGCTCTAACATGAAGTCTTCAATCTACCTCTGGTACTTATACATGTGAATACCTATATATATACATAGGAACTCAAACCTTATACTAGATATTAATTTTCGTTCTAATAAATGAGATGGATGAAGCTGACAATGCTCTGAAGACCTGCTTATTGACACCCACTGAACTATAACAATAAGACAACCACAGTAGAGCCTTGTTATTCTAAGGTTAAGGACATTGGCTCAATTGCTGGATGCTCATAACTTTTCGAACCAAACTTTATGAAGTATCATTAGTGACCAGGAAAATGGGTAATGGGTATAATCATCACTCCCAAATCGTTAAAAGAATTGTATTTACAAGTGACCTTGAGAATGTTTAATAGGTAAAAGTCATTATTTCCAAATCTTTTACAGACTTGTATTAACTCATTTACCCCTACACATTTAAACTGGACTTGCCCAGTCTTTGATTTGGTAAGGTTATAACAAGACTTAAGAGGTGAATGGGTTAACAAGTGACCTTGAGAATGTTTAATAGGTAAAAATCATTATTCCCCAATCTTGCAGTCACTTGGTAAGAGCTTCCATGTTCATTGAGTTTTCAAGGCTTAAATGTATATTCTAATATGATATTTATTGTTACTTTTTCATTTATTGTCTTTTTGTATCAGGAAAATGGCAAAGTACTGTTTCTGGTGTTGACTGGTGTATCAAAATAGCTATATATACAGCTGTATGCTAAGGAGTTCTGCATATCATCATATCATTCAAATCTCAATTGAAATGCTTACCGGTACTGCTGCTTGTAAATACAAAACTTATATATGAAATATATTTATACTAAATGAATACTGCTATATATGCTGAAGCACTGGAACCACATAGCAATTCACACAGCATGGAGTTACCTCCCATGATTGCCTTCGCCAGCTGACAGAGGACATGCTTGGAGTTACCTCCCCTGCAAAAAAAACTCACCTTTACACTGTTTGTGGGGCTGAAAAGCATCTTGTCGACACTGCGAGCACTTGCATCCTGCTGTGCATTGCCATTCTCCTCGACCTGTTCTTGGAGCACACGGGCTGCAGGATGTTTGGGGACGCGGGACGTCTTACTAGGGGGAGGGGGGGTCGTCATCGACAGCAAATCCACACTGTTGAATAGAGACTCTTACTCTAAGCACACATCCACAATACTATCAACTTCACTTGACAAACATATAACTGTTTATTACATAGTGGTTTATACTTAAGTCGAATCTGGCTCACGGAGTGAACACCTATCTATCATCCACTTCATTAAGAATTTCCAATTACGGTAGTTCTGTACGATAATCATTTTATTTTAGATATATAGTCAAGCCTAGTTAATCTATAGCTACATCACTTATCTTGTTGTCCTGATATCTAGATGGATTAGCGATTCATGGAACAATCAACGTTCATGCTATTGATTATTAATGATTCTACCAAATCTTTGATGTAACTATTTTCATTGGTTATTCTGCTATGCTGGGGTTTATCAGGGGGTTTTGGGTAACAGATCATACAATGTTTTTGGGGAAAAATCATTGACATCATAGCCATGTTGGGAAATCTGGATAATCATTGTACTAGCTCTGAATACATGAAATGAGACTTTATAACGACATGGTCATTCTGTCCTTTATACATACATGTAAACTCACCTCTTCACGTCTGCATTTTAGAATCTTTGCAAAGACGTCATGTAAATACCACCCTTTTATTTGTTCAATTATGTGCACATTGCTTGCTTGAATGTATAAAAGTGATTGTAAGCCTTTGATTTTTGTTTTCACAATTATAACCATTACTATTATCCATATGTTGTAAAGCGACTTAGAGTAATTTTACAAATTATATAGGGCGCTATATAAATGTTTTATATTATTATTATTATGTATGCTGCATCTTGAGAACTCAGTCAATTGGTAGGACTTTATTTAAATAGACACATTTATTTGTTTAGATTTCCAAATTGGCAATTTTAAAGGGTAAAATTGGTAAAAACAAATCACACTTTTTCAATTGGGAATGGGTCCTTTAAACGGACCTTAAAGGTACCTGATAAGCCCCTGTGATGGAAGGGCACTTTTCATTGGTTAATAACCATGGATGTTTGGAAATTGGACCATGCATGTGCATGCATTATTTTCCAACAGACCAAAACCTCCCCAGCAACTGCACGCATAAACAAGTAAGCTGTGGGACTGGTCTAATGAGGGTACCCACATTTAATATTGTATGTATTTGAAGATTTGTTAGCAGACAAACAAAAGCGTTTCTATTTAACCTATATCTACTTTTAACCTGTCAAGTTCAAGGTTATAATGATCCACCCAACTTACCATGAAGGTGACATGAAATGGTTTTTGTGAATCTGTCAAAAGTTGATCTAATCTGTTGACGAACAATGTCGATAGATTTGTGGTTTTGATTCATCAAAATAAACATTTGGTATAAATGATGACATCAAAGGCTATTTTTATAGTCTGTCGACCAAATGGTAACTGAAAATGAATGGTCCTTCCAAAAGATATTCAGGTTGAATAGACAAAATTTCAAAAATGATAAAAACATGCAGCTTGTCGTGAAATAAAGATATAGGCATCATGATCACGTGACAAATGTTTGCACACACAAAAAAACAGCCTGATTTAAATAACTAGATTATCAAGGTCACCTTGATCATAAGTATATGGACACTGAGGTAGACGTGAAAAAGACTTTCATTAAATTTTATAAGGTAGAAAAGATATAATCAACATATGTTTGTATTTCCTGGTAGAAAATATTACTCAGAATTCACAAATGTTGGAAAAATTATCAACTCAGGCCACAAGTGACTTTTGTTAATTATTTTTTGCAACATTTTCTCACCCTCATTATATATCCACCATAACAGGCACACATACATTGATTATCAAACAATAACATGAGCCTGAGAGTTGTATGTAATTCCACCTGACTCTGAATGTGAATGACATCACAAATCCATTGCAGTGTAACCAGACTTTTGAAAAAAAGCACAAAAATAACCTCAAATCATTGTTTCTATCATTTTTTTTTAACTTTGAAATGAATTAGAATGCGAATAACCCTTCTATATTTTGTTATTTTTGCTGGTACTGTCACAAATATCCATTTTACTGGCACCTCTATCCCTGTCACCAGTAAAACTCAATTCGCGACAGTATAATACGGGCACAAATCTCAGCAGGGTTATCCCCTTAATGATAATTTAACAGATCAACCACAACAGATGATGTACCACCAGGGTGAGGTATACATATAGCACCAGACCTGGGGCTATAAACATGTAATACCATTACGAGTATATAGTGTTACATGTATACAGAACCATCATCTGGACCTGTGTACAGCACGTGAGTTAAGTATGAGGTATGTGTACAGGTGCTGTGTAAATACATAATATACACGTGTAGCTTTACCTTTGGTCAGCCTGAGTTTCTGTGTTGTCATTCCTGATCCGACTGGAGTCTGGCACTGCAAAGACAGAACAGACCATGTACATTAAACACATATACCTAGCCACCGCTTTATCTGGCAATGAAAGTGCAGGCAACAAACTGGAGTTAAACAGATGGCTGCTAATTTTGGTTTCTGAATCACTGTCAGTAGGTCCGCCTTTTCTCACATTCTGGAATCTGTATTTATCCCCCTGCTTTTCTCACATTCTGGAATCTGTATTTATCCCCCTGCTTTTCTCACATTCTGGAATCTGTATTTATCCCCTTCCTTTTCTCACATTCTGGAATCTGTATTTATCCCCCTCCTTTTCTCAGGCCTGTGTTTATCTTTTCTCCTCGCTATAGGCCCCTCTCTCTCCCCCCCCCGTCCCTTACTTTTCTCCTCGCTATAGGCCCCTCTCTCTCCCCTCCCGTCCCTTACTTTTCTCCTCGCTATAGGCTCCTCTCTCTCCCCTCCACGTCCCTTACTTTTTCCTCGCTATAGGCCCCTCTCTCTCCCCTCCACGTCCCTTACTTTTCTATACTTACCTGGGACCTCTATATACTAGACCGTTCCTGGAGCCAGAATATATTCCTCTTTATACCTTACAAAAAGCATCTCTCTTGTCAATTTTCAAGTAAGTATTCTGTCATTTCCTTCCTTAGACCATAATAATATCACAAGTGTATTCTCTCCTCCCTGTCTATTCATGACTCATTACCTACTACCTGACACAGAACCCTGATTTTTCTTTTCATCTATTCTTCCATCCTATATTAAGTTGGGTTCTTGACTTTCTAGCCTCAACTTTGACCCCTCTCTCTTCATTCTGAGATTCCATCTCCCCAACAATTCTTATCCTTTTTTCAGCCCCTAATCTACCTCTCCCCATTTTTGTTTGTTAACTTGCTACCTTCAACCCTAACCCTATTCACCACCCTTGTTATTCTATCCTCCTATCTCCCTCTGAGATATATGTCCAATATCAATATCCCTCCCTAACTCTCTCTCTCTTTCTCTGTATGAGGTAATTGTCCTGCATCACTCCCCAACCCCATTTTCTCTATCTTCTTTCTTCTCTTTCTAAGATATCTATCCTATGTTACCTTCTCTATATCTCTACCTTCAGCCCCTTACGGCGGAATATGACACATTCCATTTAAACAATACTCAAAATGTAGAAACACATGTAAGAACATTTGTGTTGTTCTCTGGATAGTAGTGTAACCTTCAGGTATTGCCTATTACATCAGTCATAGCAAAACTTTGATAACTTGAAGTTAATGAAACAATGAAATCAAGCTTTAAACATAGTACATCATATATCAGTATAACAGTTAAAGGTCTTAAACAGACTCTATTAACCACTACATTAATGGATAACTTAACACAACGAATCAGTCTTACAGCACAGGACACCATGAACTACATTATCTACAACAGTTAATGGTCCTGTAAAATAACCAGACACCACGAACTACAGTATCTACAACAGTTAATAGTCCTGTAAAATAACCAGATACCACCAACTCCAGAATCTACAACAGTTAATGGTCCTGTAAAATAACCAGACACCATGAACTACAGTATCTACAACAGTTAATGGTCCTGTAAGATAACCAGACACCATGAGCTACAGTATATACAATAGTTAATGGTCCTGTAAGATAACCAAACACCATGGCTACAGTATCTACAATAGTTAATGGTCATGTAAGATAACCAAACACCATGGCTACAGTATCTACAATAGTTAATGGTCCTGCATGATAACCAGACACCATAAACTACAGTATCTACAACAGTCCATGGTCCTGTATGATAACCAGACACCATGAACTACAGTATCTACAACAGTTAATGGTCCTGTAAGATAACCAGACACCATGAGCTACAGTATATACAATAGTTAATGGTCCTGTAAGATAACCAAACGCCATGGCTACAGTATCTACAATAGTTAATGGTCCTGCATGATAACCAGACACCATAAACTACAGTATCTACAACAGTCCATGATCCTTTTTGATAACCAGACACCATGAACTAGGGTATCTACAACAGTCAATGGTCCTGTATGATAACCAGACACCACGACCTACATTATCTACAATAGTTCATGGTCCTGTATATGATAATCAGACACCATGAACTACAGTACCTACAACAGTCAATGGTCCTGTAAGATAACCAGACACCATGAACTACAGTATCTACAACAGTTAATAGTCCTGTAAAATAACCAGACACCATGAACTATAGAATTGACAACAGTTAATGCCCTGTAAGATAACCAGACACCATGAGCTACAGTATCAACTACAGTTAATGGTCCTGTAAGATAACCAGACACCATGAACTACACTATCTACAACAAACAGTCAATGGTCCTGTAAGATAACCAGACACCATGAAATACAGTATCTACAACAGTTAATAGTCCTGTAAAATAACCAGACACCATGAACTATAGAATCTACAACAGTTAATGACCTGTAAGATAACCAGACACCATGAACTACACTATCTACAACAAACAGTCAATGGTCCTGTAAGATAACCAGACACCATGAACTACACTATCTACAACAAACAGTCAATGGTCCTGTAAGATAACCAGACACCATGGCTACAGTATCTACAATAGTTAATGGTCCTGCATGATAACCAGACACCATAAACTACAGTATCTACAACAGTTAATGGTCCTGTATGATAACCAGACACCATGTACTACAGTATCTACAACAGTTAATGGTCCTGTATGATAACCAGACACCATGAACTACAGTATCTACAACAGTTAATGGTCCTGTATGATAACCAGACACCATGAACTACAGTATCTACAACAGTTAATGGTCCTGTATGATAACCAGACACCATGAACTACAGTATCTACAACAGTTAATGGTCCTGTAAGATAACCAGACACCATGAACTACAGTATCTACAACAGTTAATGGTCCTGTAAGATAACCAGACACCATGAACTACAGTATCTACAACAGTTAATGGTCCTGTAAGATAACCAGACACCATGAACTACAGTATCTACAACAGTTAATGGTCCTGTAAGATAACCAGACACCATGAACTACAGTATCTACAACAGTTAATGGTCCTGTAAGATAACCAGACACCATGAACTACAGTATCTACAACAGTTAATGGTCCTGTAAGATAACCAGACACCATGAACTACAGTATCTACAACAGTTAATGGTCCTGTAAGATAACCAGACACCATGAACTACAGTATCTACAACAGTTAATGGTCCTGTAAGATAACCAGACACCATGAACTACAGTATCTACAACAGTTAATGGTCCTGTAAGATAACCAGACACCATGAACTACAGTATCTACAACAGTTAATGGTCCTGTAAGATAACCAGACACCATGAACTACAGTATCTACAACAGTTAATGGTCCTGTAAGATAACCAGACACCATGAACTACAGTATCTACAACAGTTAATGGTCCTGTAAGATAACCAGACACCATGAACTACAGTATCTACAACAGTTAATGGTCCTGTAAGATAACCAGACACCATGAACTACAGTATCTACAACAGTTAATGGTCCTGTAAGATAACCAGACACCATGAACTACAGTATCTACAACAGTTAATGGTCCTGTAAAATAACCAGACACCATGAACTATAGAATCTACAACAGTTAATGCCCTGTAAGATAACCAGACACCATGAACTACACTATCTACAACAGTCAATGGTCCTGTAAGATAACCAGACACCATGAACTACAGTATCTACAACAGTTAATAGTCCTGTAAAATAACCAGACACCATGAACTATAGAATCTACAACAGTTAATGCCCTGTAAGATAACCAGACACCATGAACTACACTATCTACAACAGTCAATGGTCCTGTAAGATAACCAGACACCATGAACTACAGTATCTACAACAGTTAATAGTCCTGTAAAATAACCAGACACCATGAACTATAGAATCTACAACAGTTAATGCCCTGTAAGATAACCAGACACCATGAACTACACTATCTACAACAGTCAATGGTCCTGTAAGATAACCAGACACCATGAACTACAGTATCTACAACAGTTAATAGTCCTGTAAAATAACCAGACACCATGAACTATAGAATCTACAACAGTTAATGCCCTGTAAGATAACCAGACACCATGAGCTACAGTATCAACTACAGTTAATGGTCCTGTAAGATAACCAGACACCATGAACTACAGTATCTACAACAGTCAATGGTCCTGTAAGATAACCAGACACCATGAACTACAGTATCTACAACAGTTAATAGTCCTGTAAAATAACCAGACACCATGAACTATAGAATCTACAACAGTTAATGCCCTGTAAGATAACCAGACACCATGAACTACACTATCTACAACAGTCAATGGTCCTGTAAGATAACCAGACACCATGAACTACAGTATCTACAACAGTTAATAGTCCTGTAAAATAACCAGACACCATGAACTATAGAATCTACAACAGTTAATGCCCTGTAAGATAACCAGACACCATGAACTACACTATCTACAACAGTCAATGGTCCTGTAAGATAACCAGACACCATGAACTACAGTATCTACAACAGTTAATAGTCCTGTAAAATAACCAGACACCATGAACTATAGAATCTACAACAGTTAATGCCCTGTAAGATAACCAGACACCATGAACTACAGTATCAACTACAGTTAATGGTCCTGTAAGATAACCAGACACCATGAACTACAGTATCTACAACAGTCAATGGTCCTGTAAGATAACCAGACACCATGAACTACAGTATCTACAACAGTTAATAGTCCTGTAAAATAACCAGACACCATGAACTATAGAATCTACAACAGTTAATGCCCTGTAAGATAACCAGACACCATGAACTACACTATCTACAACAGTCAATGGTCCTGTAAGATAACCAGACACCATGAACTACAGTATCTACAACAGTTAATAGTCCTGTAAAATAACCAGACACCATGAACTATAGAATCTACAACAGTTAATGCCCTGTAAGATAACCAGACACCATGAACTACACTATCTACAACAGTCAATGGTCCTGTAAGATAACCAGACACCATGAACTACAGTATCTACAACAGTTAATAGTCCTGTAAAATAACCAGACACCATGAACTATAGAATCTACAACAGTTAATGCCCTGTAAGATAACCAGACACCATGAACTACAGTATCTACAACAGTTAATAGTACTGTAAAATAACCAGACACTATGAACTATAGAATCTACAACAGTTAATGGTCCTGTGAGATAACCAGACACCAGGAACTACAGTATCTACAATAGTTAATGGTCCTGTTTGATAACCAGACACCATGAACTACAGTATCTACAACAGTTAATGGTCCTGTATGATAACCAGACACCATGAACTACAGTATCTACAACATTCAATGGTCCTGTGAGATAACCAGACACCATGAACTACAGTATCTACAACTGTCAATGATCCTGTATGATAACCAGACACCATGAACTACAGTATCCACAACAGTTAATGGTCCTGTATGATAACCAGACACCATAAACAATAGTAACTACAATAGTTAATGGTCCTGTGAGATAACCAGACACCATGAACTACAGTATCTAGAACAGTTAATGGTCCTGTAAGATAACCAGACATCATGAGCTACAGTACCTACAACAGTTAATGGTCCTGTGAGATAACCAGACACCATGAACTACAGTATCTACAACAGTTAATGGTCCTGTAAGATAACCAGACATCATGAGCTACAGTATCTACAACAGTTAATGGTCCTGTAAGATAACCAGACATCATGAGATACAGTATCTACAACAGTTAATGGTCCTGTGAGATAACCAGACACCATGAACTACAGTATCTACAACATTCAATGGTCCTGTGAGATAACCAGACACCATGAACTACAGTATCTACAACTGTCAATGATCCTGTATGATAACCAGACACCATGAACTACAGTATCCACAACAGTTAATGGTCCTGTATGATAACCAGACACCATAAACAATAGTAACTACAATAGTTAATGATCATGTAAGATAATCAGACACCACCAACTCCAGTATCTACAACAGTTAATGCCCTGTATGATAACCAGACACCATGAACTATAGAATCTACAACAGTTAATGGTCCTGTATGATAACCAGACACCATGAACTACAGTATCTACAACAGTTAATGCCCTGTATGATAACCAGATACCACCAACTCCAGTATCTACAACAGTTAATGGTCCTGTATGATAACCAGACACCATGAACTACAGTACCTATTGGTCAAATAACCGATTAAGACTCCAAGAACAAAGGTTAACAGTGCCTATATCATTAATGAGCTTATAAGTAAATCATACTCCATGAGCTTTCTTATGTTGTCCTCTACATCACCAAAGACAATGGAGATCGATCTGTGCTGCTGATGATGTATATGCCCAGAGCTTAATGCATTAAACCCTAGACTCTAGCTCACATCAATCAATAACCAACATACAAACATAATGAATGTTTCATGAGGACAACAAACTGTTAGGAAGACCTTTAGATTTCATCTCTATTACAGATGTACTTGTATCTTTTAAGTCATATATATATATACCTACCACTTTCAATGCCAGCGATTTTTCTGTTAATTTGGGATAGGACCGTTTCATCTTATTTTGGAAAGAAAGTATGCCAATTGGGCAGGAAATTTCCAGGAGTAAACAGCAAATTTGGGAATTAAGCATAAATATGAAATAATTTCAATTGGGAATGGGGTGCATTTTAGGCCCCAAAGAGTCCCCAGCCAAAAAGCACTGCATAATACCTACCGTCATATTTTCCTCCTAGTAATACCTACCACTTCCCATGTCTCCCCTCGTATAGTCCTCCTATTAATACCTACCACTTCCCATGCCTCCCCGCGTATAGTCCTCCTAGTAATCCCTACCCCTTCCCATGTCTACCCTCGTATACTCCTCCTAGTAATACCTACCCCCTCCCATGTCTCCCCTCGTATACTCCTCCTAGTAATACCTACCACTTCCCATGTCTACCCTCGTATGGTCCTCCTAGTAATACCGACCACTTCCCATGTCTCCCCTGGTATGGTCCTCCTAGTAATACCTACCACTTCCCATGTCTCCCCTCGTATGGTCCTCCTAGTAGTACCTACCACTTCCCATGTCTACCCTCGTATAGTCCTCCTAGTAATACCTACCACTTCCCATGTCTACCCTCGTATAGTCCTCCTAGTAATACCTACCACTTCCCATGTCTACCCTTGTATAGTCCTCCTAGTAATACCTACCACTTCCCATGTCTACCCTCGTATAGTCCTCCTATACATAATCACCTCTTTTAACTACATTGGTATCTATTCTCCCCTTTTCCACTTTCCATTGTTTGAAAAAACTTTCCTCCTCTTTAAATATATATATGACTTAATTACCCCACCCCCACCCCCCTATTCCCTCCTAATTTCCTATCTACATCCCCCTTTTCCAACACCTATCTACCCCTCACCCTCACTACCTATCTACCCCTGCCCCTCACCATCTATCTAGCCCTACCCCTTACCACCTTTCTACCCCTGACTTCACCTACTATCTACCCCTGCCCCTAAACACCTATCTTTCCCTCACCACCTATCTACCCCTCACCCTCATCACCTATCTACCCCTTACCCTAACCACCTATCTACCATTGCCCCTCACAACCTATCTACCCCTGCCCTTTACTACCTATCTTCCCCTAACCACCACCACCTATCTACCCCTGCCCCTTACCATCTATCTACCACTGCCCCTCACCACCTATTTACCCCTTACCATCACCACCTATCTACCACTGCCCCTCACCACCTTATCTACCCCTGCCCCTCACCACCTATCTACCCCTGCCCCTTTCCACCTATCTACTCCTAACCATCCCAACCTATATACCCCTGCCCCTCACCACCTATCTACCCCTCATCCTCACTACCTATCTACCCCTGCCCTTCACCACCTATCTACCCCTGCCACTTACCATCTATCTACCCGTCACCTTCACCACCTATCTACCCCTAACCATTCCTACCTATACACCCCTGCACCTCACCACCTATCTACCCCTGCCCTTTACCACCTATCTCCCCTCACCCTCACCACCTATCTACCCCTGCCCCTCACCACTTCTCTACCCCTGCCCCTTTCCACCTATCTACCCCTCACCCTCACCACCTATCTACCCCTGCCCCACACCACCTATCTGACCCTACATTCCCTCACCACTTTTTTCTCCCTTGTGTCTTTTATACTACTCTTTCCTGATCTATCTTTGCTCATACCTGAGTATAACTTTGCAGTACCTAAGAGAGAAACAAGCTGGTCAGTTAAATGTCACATGCGTGCATGCATGTTTCTATAATAAACAATGATGGTAGTTAATCTTCTTATCCAACAGTTATTATATTGCTCCAAAGCACCTGTAACCACATGTATAATACACTCCATGAAAATCTAAACACAAACACCTGTTAGCCTCCCCCACCCCAGATTTCCCTTTTTCCACTGTAAACAATACCATACTGGACTCCCCTACAGTTTCTGTACTGCGCCCGTTACACCTTTGATGTGATACACTTATACTGTTACACAATCCTTAAATCCATTCACCATGTGTACCCTCATACAGATATATATCAACCAAAGTATTAAAGTACTATAGGGCTACAGAAATCTGCATACCTCTTCATTATACTGGTAAATAGTCTCACATCCGTCCTCATACGGCAGGTTGTATGTTAATTAGCATATCAGTGTAGAAACACGCTCACTATACCAAACAAAAATGGCTGAATGGGAAATAAAATTCCAGCGACCGGTTGACTAGCAACAAATAAAACGTCAATATCTAGCAGTGTGTACCGTGGGTCGGTACTGATGACTGTGCATGTCAACAAGCGTCTATAAGACCAGCTTATCACTAATATATGCAGGACATCGGAATCCGATTCAAAAGTCCTAACTGGTTGTAGAAATTACAACAGTGTGGAGACCAGGTAGATCCTGAACAAACATCACACAGTAGAAATTGCTGTTGATCCTTGTACAACAAACACATCAGGTATCGGAGGTTCCTGTGTCGCCCTACATCAGGCTTGAGTGCCCCAAACAGGGTAGGTATATGTTCTATACTGTAAGTATAACAAGATCAATATTATATGTGATGACCCGACAACCCATTCAGATCGATATTTGATGGCCCAACCGTTCACCAGTACACCACTGCCTTCTACATGTTTTACGCGGCAAGTAACAGATTGATAGTAAATGGCCCATTGACTGAAGACAGGAGCAAAACGTTGGAGAAAGTTAAAATTACTACTGAAGGAATAAGTCAAGGTAAGACTATAATGGATGTAAAACTATACCCTAGATTTTACAATTACAGACAAGGTTTAAAACTCTGTATAGCTACCTACAGTATTTAAGATATTTTTTTTTTGTAAACAGAAAGACAATTGTGTAGAAAACAGGCTTGACACCTTATACCACAGTCAAGACAAGGGTATAATGGATGGTAAACTGTATAATGTGTACCTGTATGTTCAGAACACCTGGCTCTGATATAACAATCCCATTAGGTCTGCCTCAAGTTCAGTTTGAGCTTAAGTTTTTACTTTGGCAAAATGTAACTTAATTTAAATTAAACTCAAACATAGCTTGAGGTGGATTTGAGTGGTTGATATATATCTGGTAATTAAATTACTAGTTAACAAACTGTTATTTCAGATTATCTTGATCTGTATAAATTGATTATACAGAATTAGTTCTTCTCAACTAATTCTATATCCTAAAGCTGCCTTAATTTAACAAGCCAAGTCCTATTTAATTCATCCATAAAATTAGTTTTCCCAAACCTTTTTTTATTTGCTAACGAGGTTTTCTTCTACACAGAATTAGCAATTCACTAGGGTCTTAATGCAGTGAGTGTGTGAAATGTAGTCTAAGGGTGACTGTGTACCCATAAAGGTAACACCACATTACCACACTTCTACAGAACACAACAGTCAAACATACAACCACATGAACTTGTTATCCAAAACACACATTTACTGTAAACTGAATGTTAAAACTCACCCTTCAATTTTTTTAAAAGCCGATCCAAATCACGAATCTCACATTTACGATCCAAATCACAAATCTTACATTTACGTTCTACCAGCCATTACTGGTCTAACTCACCCGTCCACCGGAGTGTTCCTGTACTATGGGAATGTATACAAACCCCCCAATCCATTCAATCGCATTGACTCAACAAACTAAAGCTTACAAGAGATAAGTAAATAACTGGCTGCCATTACAAAAGATCTCTGTGTAGAAAGTATTGTCAGCTTACACCACTAAGGCTAAAAACAAACATAACTGTGAAATGTCCCATGTTAATCTATTACATGCGACCTGTATTTATCGTTTTACTTCCTAGATTCTGACATAATTAAGGAGGGAAATGAGTCCATTTCATGTTAATTTTTGCCACTATAGGAAGCAAGCACAATCCAATATGTAGGTGGGAAGTAGAAACAAAGCAAAAGAAAATTTGTTCGCTTCATAAAATCTTGAAATAGAAATAAATCAATGAATTTGATTTGTTATTTTCACGGTTCAAAATGCTGACCTGTACAATGCCAAAGTGCATTTTCAAAGAAATATTTCAATTTTAAAGCCTGATTTTTGAAAACGGAAAGCACACCAAGTGAATTACACTCAGGCCTAGTCCCCTTCCCAGGTGAAAATCCTTCCTATACAAATTAAACCTAACAGGTAATCACAGCTGCAGGTAGGAACAAGAATACACCTGATCAGGTGAAAACAATCAGGTGTTTCCAGTCAACTTACCTTTAATTCAGTCATTGTACAAAGCAGACACACTTTGTGTGTAGAGTATTATATTTTAAAGTGACCCAAACATGTGTTTTCCAAACCAGTTGTCTCCCCTTTTGTTATAGTCAGTTCATACTGTATTTAAAGCTAGGTTAGCTTCATGTGAAGCTTGTTAATAAATGTTCAGAAGTTTCTTTTCAAATATGTTCATGTTCCTTATTCTCAGTCCAATACTTTGAAAGACAAAACTTGTTTGTTTACTAGTGGTGCTTGTGAGATATTTTGAAACTTCAATGGTGTCACGCTAATGTTAACTTTTGGGGTTCTGGCTCACCAACTCGTACAAGGAATACACTTCCGAAGTGATCAAATTAGCATGAAATTGTTCCTTCGGGGAAACTTCCAGATGTTTTAATAAATTAGTGTGTTTTATAAAGAATGAAAATTAGGGCTACAGTCATATTTGAATAATTCAGCACCTCAAAGGAATCAATTAATTTAATTAAAATTACACATTTAATTATATTTCTTTTTAAATTGATCTCAGATTAAAATAATTATCTTGTCTGACATCAAGTCTTTCCTATACTAAGGACTGTCCTGGCACAAGGACTTCAGATTAATCTAAATATGATTTTTTGTTAGTTTAATAAGTACAAGAATACTGAGAGATCATATCATATACATACATGTACAGTGTATATTGGGCTAGAACAATAACCCGTTGGTTTTTTTTTTATATATATTTCAACATTTAAACAATACATTTGAGTTGTTCGTTTCAATGCAAAAATAACAAGATTTTAAAAGCATCGGATTTAAACGTCCTCAACCTGAGATTTCACAGCTTCCACCTGAATGAAACATATCTATAAGATCACACCTGTCCTATATCACATGACCTTAGCTGTTCCAAAGACTTGCACCCCCAAACACAGAAAACAACACCTGTGCATATAAGGTCCACTCTGCTAGTTAAAGATGAAAAAGCATACCGAGTCCACTGATCAGTGAACATGATTCCGAGTCTTCTGGGTTATATAAACCACCTTAATAAACACACATTGATATATACTGTATGTTGAATATTTGTTAAAATGTCCACCTTCCTTGGTTTTCAACAAACGTTTTTGTTTACCATAATATGGCACCACTGGTACCTGATCCAATTATAACAGTAGACTTATTTGACTTTTTCTAAATGAAAAAGGTATGTAGATTTTACAAGTTTATAAGAATTCTTTGCAATACCTGTATATAATTATTGTGTAGTTTGTATCTGTATGTAGTTAGTGAATTGTATTTACCTGTATGTAGAAAGTGTACAGTTTTACCTGTGTGTAATTATACGTTATCAGTGTGTAGTTTTTACCTGTATGTAATTAGTAGTGATGGGCAATCGTTTTAAAATCAAAATCTATTATAAATCCGTTTGTTATCAGAAGTAGTAAACCGACCGATTATCAATTGCATTATCAGTTTATAATTTTTTTGGACTAAATACCAAAATAAAGTGAAAACACTACTATTACATCAATGGACAGAGTTGTTCACTATACAATAGGTTTTGTTCTCTTATAATGAATGGATATCAATCAACTTTTATGCATTTTTATCATATATTGATATAGATTATGGCATTTGTAATCGATAATTGGAATCGGAAAGGGCAATCCAATCGATTTTCGATTAAAATCAATCATCAGCCCATCACCTGTAGTTGGTATGTAGCTTTTATCCATATGTAATTAGTAAGCAGTTACCAGGCAGTGTGAAATGTTTACCTGTATGTAAATGTGAAGAATGTACATTTTGTATGATAGAATACATTATTTCCAAATGAAGTACAATCCAACACAGAATCCACTTCCACCGTTCCTCACATGTTTCTTGGCAAGAATAGAAGCATAACTGTCCGCGTCTGGTGTCCAATTTCTTTCACTGTCGTTAACAGTGTACTATATATATATATACACTATTTATCACTTAAATTACATGCATATGTTCTAATGAAATCAGCTTCCACCACAACAATTTTAGATACAATTGGCTATCCTCCAGGTGTTAGATAAGTGTTCCAAAATTTAAGATACTGTCTGCAGGTGTGCCATCTAGATCATATGATAGGGGTTTACCACTGTGAATGTACCAGGAGAAAGTCACCTGTACACTATACTGTTAGCCTGGTGTGTGTACAAGGACAGTTGGTGTATGATTGAATATAAACAACCTTAATAACATATAAATCTGTTTGTCACATCAAACAATTACTGTAATTGTACCTGTGACAATGCCAAGGCTTACCTGTTGATCATACCTGTAATACCTACACAGGTACATAAATAATATATATATGATTAAGGATCCACCCAACTCCAACACAATGTATATAATACATGCTATTTACCTCTAAATGAAGTGGAAGTTATCAATTTTTCATATCAACCATCTGTATGCATTAAGCTAACATATAACAACACACGTTTTGTTTTTGTATTTTGAGACTGGACTGGGACCCATATTTATAGGAATATCAGTGAGTCAAAGAAATTAATAGGACATAAAATAGCAGAAACTCAGAATCGTTCTGTCCCAGGAAGGAGCTTTTGAAATATCAATTTTCACACTTGCAGTTTTTTTCATGACATAGCTACGGAACATAAAGAGGTAAAATTAAATGGGCCTGTATCGCTCATCTGTTATTCAGTTATGTTTGCAAAAACATCTCTCATGATCATAGTGACTTTCAGAGTATGTCAAGATTAAATTTGTTAAATCAAGATGATAGCATGTCGGCTAAAGTTACTTGTTTTAAAGGTTTAATCACATTTATAAGTTTAGAAGATAATTAAATAACTAACAGTAACATAATTATCCTGATTTACTGTCCATGTACAAAAGTTATATCTGCTAAAAATAATGTATTTATATACCGATGTTCTTGTGCTGCATTTNGGGGGCACTTATTTGGAGACAACAAAATGGGAGTTATGACGGGAAAAGTTATGCGGCTTCAACCATTGTATTTCAAAAGGTTGAAAAGAACATTATAAATATTTTAGTAACTGAATGTTTCATCCGCTTCACAGGAAGTTTTAAGTGTATGACTGTATGTACTAGTACTGTAAATCATTGACTGGGCCAGGTCTGGATTAGGAGGGAGTCTATATAATTTCAATACCTTCCAAAAACGGGGGAGGGGCATGCACTTACATGTATATAGGGAGAAGGGGGTTAATTATGGTGAATACAGTATATTGTTTTTAAAAGGAACTAACTAAATACCTATCTATCTTGTCAACTCTATCCAGAAACTTGTGTCTAGAAAGAAAGGGTGGTTATTAATTAGGAAGAGGGTGTAACAGAAGAAATATGGTACTCAGTGTTCATTGTATGTCCCATTATGTATGTACTGGCATATGTACATGTATGTATACAGTACACTGTCAACTTTTACACACCAAACAAAACAGCTTATAGTTAATCTATGACTAATTCTTCCAAGGTGACCTCTCCAATGCCTTTGTATGCAAGCTCTCATACCCATATTTACTTACATTGTACTTCAAACTACAGGTAATACACCATGTAATAAACTATTTACTGTTGTGGCTTCAACCTTACTCCGACTTGTACCTTTAAACCTCAACCAAACAACCCTGTCACACAACAACACAGCCAAGACAATAATGTCTTGATCAGGTCTCCCATTTCTCGATGAATTATTGATTACACCCTGGTTAGCTAAAACGTTTGTGCCTTTGCAGATAGTCTTCAGCAATGGTACAACATGTGGCATGTTGTCCACGATTGTGTGATAATGGGTCAGGGACTTTGGTCTTAAGCACTGAAAGACATTTCCGGGAATTATTTCAACCACCATGAAAAGTCTACCAGTGGAGAAGGAGGTGACCTCGATCCAGGTAAGGAACAAGCTTTGTCAACAAGCTGACAACATGGTGTACATGTAGTGGTGACACAATACATGAACTGTGTGATTGTAGGGAAAGTCCACAAGCATGATATCAAGTTTAGGGAGTCAAACTAATTAAGTAAAGCATGAAGGTTTGATAATATCTATCCCATCTATAATGTTGAAAGTCTTAAGCTTCAAAGTTTTATAATCTATAACAATGAAATCATTGAGAACCAAGTAATATGGAATTAAATATTCGGGTCGCTAATGGGCCCAATTCCCTATTGAAAACTAATTCCCAAAATTTGCAGTTTACGCCTTAAATTTCCTTAAACAAGAGGCCCAGAGGGCCTGTATCACTCACCTGAATATGTTTAAAATAATTGGTATGAAGTAAAGATATAGCACTCCATGGTAGGTGCTGTAAGTACATATGAAATTTCAGAAAGATCCATCCAGCACTAGAGATAGAGCAAGAACAAACTTCAAAGAAAGCCCCATCCCTCTGCCCTTATGGGGGGTGGGGGGGTCATACCCACCAATTATACAAAATTGAGTCTCCTTGACCCAAGGATGCTCCAGACTAAATAAGGATAAAATCCCTTAATCCCGATGGTCGGATAAGGATTTTAAAGGTTTCACCGCTATTCCTCCTATTGTGCCCCGCCCTTCTGACCCCTGGGAGACCACACCCACTGCTTATACAAAATTGAGTCAACTTGGCCCAAGGATGCTCCAGACTAAATCAGGATAAAATCCCTTAATACCAATGGTCGGAGAAGGATTTTAAAGATTTTACCTCTATTTCTCCTATTCGGCCCTGCCCTTCTGCCCCCTGGGAGACCACACCCACTGCTTAAACAAAATTGAGTTCCCTTGGCCCAAGGATGCTCCAGACTAAATTAGGATAATATCCCTTAATCCCTATGGTAGAAGAAGGGTTATAAAGGTTTTACTTATATTTCCCCTATTGGGCCTCGCCCCTCAGGTCCCAGGGGGGGAGGGGGGGGCCACACCCACCGTTTATACAAAATTGGTTCCCCTTTACCCAAGGATGCTCCACACCAATTATGGACCAAATCCTTTCATTCCTACAGAAGAAGGATTTTAAAGAATATTTTGCTATGTTTCCCCTATTGGGCCCCGCCCCTCAGGCCCCTGGGAGGCCAGACCTACGGTTTATACAAAATTGGTTCCCCTTCACCCAAGAATGCTTCAGACCAAATGCTTTCATTCCTACAGAATAAGAAGGATTTTAAAGAATTTGCTATGTTTCCCCTATTGGGCCCCGCCCCTAAGGCCCCTGGAGTGCCAGACCCACGGTTTATACAAAATTGTTCCCCCTTTACCCAAGGATGCTTCAGACCAAATATGGAACAAATCCTTTCATTCCTACAGAAGAAGAAGGATTTTAAAGAATATTTTGCTATGTTTCCCCTATTGGGCCCCGCCCCTCAGGCCCCTAGGGGGCCAGACTCACGGTTTATACAAAATTGGTTCCCCTACACCCAAGAATGCTTCAGACCAAAAATGGACCAAATCCTTTCCTTCCTACAAAATAAGAAGGATTTTAAAATATTTGCTATGTTTCCCCTATTGGGCCCCGCCCCTCAGGCCCCTGGGAGGCCAGACCCACGGTTTATACAAAATTGGTTCCCCTTCACCCAAGGATGCTTCACACTAAATATGGAACAAATCCTTTTATTCCTACAGAAGAAGAAGGATTTTAAAGAATTTGCTATATTTCCCCTATTGGGCCCGCCCCTCAGCCCCAAGGGGGGCCACACCCATCATTTATACAAAATTTGTTTCCCTTCCCACAAGGATGCTTCTGACCAAATTTGGTCAAAATCTGCTTAGTCGTTCATGACTAGTAGCGTTTAAAAGGAAAAGTTGACGGACGGAAAACCGACTGACGGAGGACTGAAGCTGCGGTATGGCATAAGCTCACCATGGTCCTTCGGCCTAGGTGAGCTAAAAACGTTGAACAAGTTCAATTCACAGGTCCTTTTTTAACTCCACCCAATGTTTCCATGTTTTTGAAAACTATGCCCCATTTCTCCGGTATTGTTGACAGCTCTACCCCCATATCTCTCAAATTGTTGAGAACTCTGCCCTTTATCCCCTGTACTGCTGAGAGCTCTACAAAAATCCCCAATAATGTTTAGAGATCTACCCCAGTTGAGAGCTCTGCCCTATGCTCTCTGTCCAAGAGCTCTCAGTATTGCTAGAGCTCTACCCCATATCCCCAATAATGTTTAGAGCTCTACCCCCATATTCCCCATATTAATGACAACTATACCCCATATTCCCAATATTGTTGAGAGATTTCCCCCATAACACCTATATTGTTGAGAGCTCTACCCCATACCCACTATATTGATAAGAGCTCTACCCCTTATCCGATAATGTTGAGAACTCTTCCCCATATCCCCTATACTGTTGAGAGCTCACCCAATATTCCCCATATTGTTGAGAGCTCTACCCATATTATTGAGAGCTCTCTCCCACATCCCCCATATTATTGAGAGCTCTACCCCATACCCCCCATATTATTGAGAGCTCTACCCCATTTCCCCCATATTATTGAGTGCTCTACCCCATAACACCCATATTATTGAGAGCTTTACCCCATATCCCCCATATTATTGAGAGCTCTACCCCATTTCCCCCATATTATTGAGTGCTCTACCCCATAACACCCATATTATTGAGAGCTTTACCCCATATCCCCCATATTATTGAGAGCTCTACCCCATATCCCCAATATTATTGAGAGCTTTACCCCGTATCCCCCATATTATTGAGAGCTCTACCCCATATCCCCCGTATCCCCCATATTATTGAGAGCTCTACCCCATACCCCCCCTATTATTGAGAGCTCTACCCCATTTCCCCCATATTATTGAGTGCTCTACCCCATAACACCCAAATTATTGAGAGCTGTACCCCATATCCCCCATATTATTGAGTGCTCTACCCCATAACACCCAAATTATTGAGAGCTTTACCCCATATCCCCCATTTTATTGAGAGCTTTACCCCATATCCCCCATTTTATTGAGAGCTGTACCCCGTATCCCCAATATTATTGAGAGCTTTTCCCCATATCCCCCATATTATTGAGAGCTGTACCCCATATCCCCCATATTATTGAGTGCTCTACCCCATAACCCCCATATTATTGAGAGTTCTACCCCATATCCCCCATATTATTGAGAGCTCTCCCCCATATCCCCCATATTATTGAGAGCTGTACCCCGTATCCCCCGTATTATTGAGAGCTCTACCCCATATCCCATATTATTGAGAGCTCTACCCCCTATCCCCCGTATCCCCCATATTATTGAGAGCTCTACCCCCTTTCCCCCATATTATTGAGTGCTCTACCCCATAACCCCCATATTATTGAGAGTTCTACCCCATATCCCCCATATTATTGAGAGCTGTACCCCGTATCCCCCGTATTATTGAGAGCTCTACCCCATATCCAATATTATTGAGAGCTCTACCCCGTATCCCCAATATTATTGAGAGCTCTACCCCATTTCCCCCATATTATTGAGAGCTCTACCCCCTATCCCCCGTATCCCCCATATTATTGAGCGCTCTACCCCATATCCCATATTATTGAGAGCTTTACCCCATATCCGCCATATTATTGAGAGCTCTACCCCATACCCCCCCTATTATTGAGAGCTCTACCCCATTTCCCCCATATTATTGAGTGCTCTTCCCCATAACACCCATATTATTGAGAGCTGTACCCCATATCCCCCATATTATTGAGAGCTCTCCCCCATATCCCCCATATTATTGAGAGCTTTACCCCAAATCCCCCATTTTTTTGAGGGCTTTACCCCATATCCCCCATATTATTTAGAGCTCTACCCCATATCCCCCATATTGTTGAGAGCTCTACCACATGAAGGTTTATATCTTTTGAATCTCACCTATAAGGCTGAAAAAAGTTTTGTAGTTCATAACAATTAAATAATTTAGAACCAAGTAATATTAACTAGAACTGTAAGCCAAAGGTTAACTAATACCCCCCCCCCTACCTATATAAAGCAGAACTGTAAGATTAAGGCTAAGTAAGGTAAAGAATTGCAAAGCAATCCATAGTCTCCCACCAGTAATTATTTCTTTATTCACTGAGCTGTACACTTATCTAAGTACAGTGGAATCTGTATTAAGCGACCACCCAAGGGTTATTAAACAAACGGTTGTTTAATAAAGTTTGACCCTATTTTGTACAGAATTACATCACCGACTATAACCAAACGACCAATTATTCAGACGACAACTGTAAACAGACCACCGCCCCTAGTCCACATTTACACATGTATGTACAGGAAGTTTAAAACAACATCGTTCAACAGCTCAGGTGAATAACTAAACAAGAGGCACAGAAGGCCTGTATCACTCACTGGATATCTAAGCAATCATGGCAAAATATTCTCCAAGTGAGATCCAAGGGAATATGCCAGACCCCAAGGCCAATCCTTGTAGCATATCTGTATTAGATTTTTCATGCCCAGCAATTTTATGTTTGGTTATGGGATGGGGATCTCAACTATTTCAGAAACTAGGTCCCTAGGGTTGTGGCCAGACCCCAGGATCAATTACAATATCATGACTGACTGTATTTGTCTCTTTATGCCCAGCAATTGTATATATAGTTTTGGGGTGGGGATCTCAACTGTTTCAAAGTTATGACCAAGGGGTTAAGTCTGCATGGGTTGTGCAGACCCGGGGGTCAATTCTAATATCATGACTGCATTTGTCTCCTGATGCCCAACAATTGTATATTTAGTCTTGGGGTGGGGATCTCAACCGTTTCGCAGTTATGACTCAGGGGTTAAGTCTCCAAGGGTGGTGCAGACCACGTATCCATCCTGGAAGCATATGTGCATTTGTCTCTTTATAGGGTGGGGATCTCAACTGTTTCCAAGCTGTGATTCAGAAACTAGGTCCCTAGGGGTTTGGCCAGACCCCAGGGTCTATTCTGATAGCATGACTACATTTGTCTCTTTATACCCAGCGTTTTGGGGTGGGGATCTCAACCATTTCAAAGTTATGACCCAGGGACTATGTCTCCAAGGGTGGGCCTGGAAGCATATGTGCATTCTTCTTTTTATACTCAGTATTTGTATATATGGTTATAGGGTGGGAATCTCAACCATGTCCAAGTAATGAACTATTTTTGGCCCCACACTTTAGCCCAAGGGGTCAGCCCCACAATTTGTACAATTTGGAATCCCCGCCTCCCATGAATCCTTCTGACCAAATATGATTGATATCCAGTGCATAGTTCTACAGAAGAATTCGTTTATAGCAATATAGCCTAATTGCCCCCTTTTGCCCCCCCCTCCCCCCTTCAGCCCCCTGGGGGGTCAGCCCCACCATTTGTACAATTTTGAATTCCCACTACCTAGGAATACTTCCCGTTAAATATGGTTGATATCAATCACTGGCTATTCCAGTTAAAAATGTCACCCACTAGCAGATGTTCATGAAAATAAACTTCTATTCCAGGTGGGAGTCGACAGAAAATCACTCTTAAACCATGTCATAAAATGAAAAAAGTCACTTCTGTTCCTGGTAGCATTACTGAAAATAAAAAAATAAAAACTTCTGTGTCATTTTTTGAGCAATAGATCGCTTCCGAACTCCGTAAAAATACAGCCAGGGTGTCTTCTTTGAGGTGCAAGTTTTGTGTTGTTCTTTGGGAATTACTAAAGACCTGAATTGAGTGGATCATGTCAGGTTTCAACTTGTGTTGAAGAATTAAGAAAATATAACGTTTTATTCTGTTTTACATATTACAAACATTGTCATGTTATATGGAATTTAAATGTGCTGAAGCATTGTGTTAAATGCTGTGGAATATTTCTTCACAAAATTATTTGGGCCACCAATATCATTTGGGCCACTACTGTGCTTCAAATTTTTAACTCGCCCCAAAAAAATATTTCGGCCCAGCAAAGCTAGTGCCACATCAAAATGTATAGGCAAGATATCCTAACATGTCTTCAAGATACGTTTTTCACATGCTATTCAAATACATAGGCCTAAATCAAATTCGTCCATTGGAGTTCAGAGTTGTTTGTAGGTGAATGCCGGCGATATCAGTCGTGGTAACGCCCATATTACGACAATCTGATTTAAAAATCACTGCTGTGGGTGGTTGCTTCACTGATTAAAAAATACGTCTGTGGGTGGTTGTTTCATTGACTTAAAAAAAATTGCTTCAATGAGTGGTGTTCTAAAGGAAGAAAACACTTCTATTCCATCTGACAATCTGAAAGAAATCGCTTCTGTTGGTGGTACCCCTTTGAAAAAAGGGAAGTCTGCTTGTGGGTGAAATTTTTAACTGGAATAGCCCTAAAAGCAATATAGCCAAATAACCCTTTTTGGCCCCACCCCTCAGCACCCTGGGAGGTCAGCCTCACCATTTGTACACTTTTGAATCCCAACCTCCCATGAATGCTTCTGACCAAATATGATGGATATCCAGTGCACAGTTATACAGAAGGAGTCGTTTATAACAAAATAGCCAAATTCCCCGCCCCTCAACTCCCTGGGAGGTCAGACCCACCATTTGCACAATTTTGAATGCCCACTATTTAGGGATGCTTCCAGTCAAATATGGCTGATATCCATCACTTAGTTCCAAAGAAGAAGTTGCTTAAAGCAATATAGCCAAATAACACTTTTTGGCCCAACCCCTCAGGCCCCTGGGGGGTCAGCCCTACCATTCGTACAATTTTGAATCCCCACCACCTAGGGCTGCTTCCAGTCAAATTTAGTTAAATTCCAATCAGTGGTTAAGAAGGAGAAGTCGTTTAAAGAAAAAGTTGACCTACGGACGACAGACAGACAACAGACGACTGACGAGCCAGGGTATGGCGAAAATGAATTTGAAAATGCTCAATTTTAGGATATAAAATCGGGAATCTCCTTTCAAGATAGGGAGAGTTGGTGAGATGTCATCCCTCCGCCCTTCTCTATTCCCTCGTCCGAACATCCTGATGCGCTATGGAACAATATTAGGTAAACTATCTTTCAGCCCAGGAGTCGTCTTATAAAATTTTAGCATCTCCTGTATAGGACATATAGGTCAGACGACTCCCATCTTCTCCACCTCTACCCTCTCCCTTTCTCCTCTTTTTCTACATGCTTTGTCCCTTGTATTTTTCTACCTTTTCGCGTCTGCTGAAAGGCTGCCAGGCCGTAATAGCAGACATAAACCCGTCAAAATCAAAATACCCTACCCTTCATATCTGGAAAAGCCCGCTAAAGATATGTTGGTTTATAGAACACCTAAAAAACGTTGAACACTTCAGGGAGATGACAATATCACAGGCTCAGTAGTTGTAGAAATGGTTAGGAATGTAAGGTTATCTCTACAATACAGGGAATATTGGCACAAATCACTTACCTTGATTAGCAGTACTATTCTCTTGTACAAGTGGATCAAACTTGGTGTACAAGGAATCCCGCACTAGATCTCCCTGAAACAACCAAGTACATGTAGCATCAAAGTAAGTCCACTATATGTGCACACTGTATACAAGGATCCTCAACAAAACAGGTATCTTCTTTGGGTTTCTTTTGTTTTGTTTTGTTAAAATAGCAATGCAGGTGCAAAATTACCCTCGGCTATAGAGGAAAGTCATATCTTTTCTAAGAAACAGGTAAACAAATTACAAAATATTTAAAACATAAACCTACCTTGGGTTAACACACTAATGTGATCATTTTTTTTATTAAATGCAGTAAAATAGATATCATTAAATCTGTCATTTTCGAAACATTTAACTGTTAATAATTTACAATATTTTTTTAATTTCAATACTTCTGAATAATAATCTATTCTTATTGATATAATAAAAATCAAATCAATGCAATACATAGACAATTTGGGTAGAGCATTTGGCTTTAGTTTAAGGTTAAAAGATATCTTACCTGGCCTTTACCACTTAATTTTTCCAACATTTCCCAGTCAGCTGTGTCAGAGAAAACTGCAACAGGAATGAACGTAAAATTTTAAATAAAATTAAATGGCAATATTCACCATAATTCTATGCATATACGTACTGTATGTATTTAAATATGAACAGAAAAATATACAGAATATCTAGCAAAAAGGTTTTAATAGAAACATCGGTATCTGTCTGTCAAAAGAATATATATCGTGCAATAGTCGTAAAAGAACCTATCTCTCACTATACTATTCAGAAACATTAAGTATTTTTTAAGGCCATATTTGTAAAGCATACTTGCCAACCTTTTGCAATCTCCATGGGGGAGATTGAGCATGCTCAAAATTTAGAGTAGTTCTTTGAAATGAAATCAGTCGATCTTAGAATATAAGAAAATACTAAATTTAGCATCCAAAATCGGGTGTCTCCCTCATACGTAGTCGACAAGTGTGGTAATTATATATAAAGCTACCTGATTTGCATCTTAATTTTGGCATTTATTTATCTTAAATTGTAGGCTAATTAAAATGTACTGAATGTCCATTTTATCATCCCAGTCTCTTCAGGATTAAAATCTATCTGTTTTAACAGTTATGGTGGTATAAAACAGAGTTCTCTTCAGACATGCATGGTCTCCAAGATGTGCTAGCGAGCACCATGGGAGTTGTTTGAATGGAACTGTGTTGCATATTGTTATCAATGTTAAAAAGTTGCATTTCCATCCGATAAACACATTCAAATCAACAAATCAAAAAAGAAAATTTCACTTTCTACAAGAGTGTTTGGGAAAATGATCAATTTTAGACAAACTCTAGATCTATATCACAAGTTTTGAACAGTGACAAACATCAATCAGAACCATTTGTGTAATAATCTTAATTTGACATCATTCATTAATTAGTCCCGATTACTCTAACAGTATGACAGAAAGACACAAACAGTTTCAGATTGGAAAACATACAGGTGTACGTAATAGTTCTTACAGTTATTGGTTTTGTAAAAACACTCGTGAACTATTTCAAAGATTTATCAAAGGATTGTATAATGGAAATGAAAAAATAACGTTATTTACCCATGATACATAAGAAAGCCATGACAAGTAAACAAATTAATATATTTGAAATTTTTCTTTGACAATTAATGTACCTTCATTTGCAGGCACAAATCCTTCGTTCTCATCAGAATCTGGCATCTCAGCTGCTCCAAAGTCATGCATCATCTCCAAACTCCGGGTCATCTGATTGGAGGAGTCAATTTCACCTGACCCAGTTCCAGCCTCCTCATTGGTTGTTTGCTGTTTTGGGTCCGCCTCCTCATTGAGTGGCACCTCCTCCTTGACCGGCTCCTCCGTTCTAGGTGGGTCTTCTTCTCTTGGTGGTGATGGATTACTTTCCTTCTTCGGAGCGAAAATTTGAATATCATCATCACCTCCCTAAATCGAAATGCAAGTAAAGAACTGTAATTCGTATATGTGCTAATGGTCTAGGAAGTCAGAAGATAGTTCTTGGTGAATTGATTTTTTTTTAATATTCCACAACTTCAAAGTATATTTCTACAATAAATAGTTTGTCTTCACTCCCCTTTACAATAGGTATATGATCGGAATTACAACAATTTTTTTATTTTTTTATTCAATAACTGAAATGATATCTTAATATTTTTGTTACTTCTGTATAGATAAGCATTTATTAATCAAATGTAAATTGTAAATACTGCCTACTCCACAGGAAATATACTTACAGAAATATCTAAAAAAAACACAAAAAAAACAACGACAGTTCCTGAAAAACAGCTTCAAGTTTCCATAGGTTTCCCTCCTACTTCTGTTATTTTCGTTATATCTTACATAAATACACGTTACATAAGTTAACATTTGGGTAATAAAGTCATAAGTTATCAAGGGCTGCCCTGAGATAACCAACATCTATCCAGGTTTTCATTTTGTATGCTGAAACTAATTTGCAAAAGGCATTCTTGCTGGAATTCCAAAAACAGATTTAACAGATACAGAAATCTTTTTAACATTTTAAAAGGTAATATAATTCTTAGATAAACTTTATAAAAATGTGGTATAGCTGTGTTTTCTTCAGAAAATTTTCTTTGTACCTCCCCCATCAATTTGTATATTTTCCCCATTTTATACTACCAATGCTCATCCACCCATTTTATACTACCAATGCTCATCCACCCATTCTATCCAACTCATAGAAAACACTGTTTAGTTAAAATCAGATATTGAAGCTTACTTAAGTTCTGTCAATTCAATGTAGTGGACTAGGGGCAGATAACTCACCTGTATTCCAAAGTTTTCTGGAGGTTTAAACTTGGATCGGATCTTAGGTTTTTTTATTCCTTTTTTCCCGCCAGGTTTTTTACTGGGTATGAACAAAACAAAAAATATTATTATTGTCAGCATATTACATTTTAACATACTGAATGGCTTTTATATTTTTAATATCCTTTGAGTCAGTAATATTAGTAACAGCATCATTAGCTTTATTTTAAGATGTTAATTTCCTTGGGATGCTGTAATATTTGGTTAAAATGTTGTATTGCTCAGAGACAGGTTTACTGTTATGGTACAATGTATGCAAATAGGGAAGGGAACTACTATCATAAAGTAAGTTATGGTTAGGACTTTGAATAAAAAATATTAAAAGTAAAACATTTTCGAAATCATTGAATTTGAAAGTTGGAAACAAGACATTAGGTAATGTTCATATAGATAGAAATAAAAATGATGTTCTTTACATGATAAATAGCAACTAACATACACACTTCTAAGGAATAAGAAAGAAAGTGAAAGATTTTTTAAATTATAAATAAAGATTTAACAAAATTGACTTAGATATAATTCTCTTCCATATATATATGCATAATGGCAGTTGTATCTTTTTGTTTTTGCTAATAATTTCATTCCAATTCCTGACCATCAGAATTTTGTTTTTTACCTTGGAGGTTTCATTTTCACCTTGTCTTCTTTAGGTGCACTGCCTGCGGTATCCGATTCTTCCTTGATGTCTGTGGGCTTGCTGTCTGTGGGATTGCTGTCTGCTTCATCAGCTGTTGAAAGGCCTTGTTGTTCTGTAAATGTAGCTGTCTGCTGAGGTTCTTCAGGTGAGCGAGGTATCTTGTTGCCCTGTTTTACTGTTTCTTGTCCTGACTCTACAGGGGAGGATTCATGCAACATTGGGGAAGAATTTGTGGGGAGCACTTGTTCTGTTTGAGGAGGAGATGATGATAGTTGGTTTTTACTTTTAAACGGATCCTCCCCAATATCTATATCTATATCATAAATGTTATTGTTCGAATTTGTTTGGGGCGAATGGCCCATTTTCGATATAGTTTGGAACGGATTTATATTTCCACCTACTGGAGGGGACTGTCCAAGAACTGTCTTTGTCTGAAATGGATTGGAGTCTTCATCAATCTCATCAAAGTTTAAGTTATAAGAACCCTTCGGTACAGGAATTGGGGAGTGTCTGTCTTCTTCCATTGTTTGATTATATACACTGTACAAATATCAAGCTTCCAAATTACCTACAACACAGAAATTAAAGAACAAATTAATAAAAGGAAATCATCATCATCATAATCATCCTTATCAATTTCTAATGTTGGTATGGTTGTTCGTAGTCATCATCATCACTGTTTTGATGAGCAAAATTTCCTAAAAACAAACAAAATCATAAAACATAACTTTATAACTGATTTTCTGATGATTTTGACAAGTTTCCCTTTGCATATGTTGAGAGACAGAATTATGCACAAAATAAATTTCTACTTAATTATCGAAAAATGTGTTCTAAAATTTGTTGTTTTTGCATTCTTTTGCTTATAATATATTTCAACATATCTCCAGGTCACATTTTTTTCTATTTTTTTTCAACAATTATACATCATCATTGTGTTGTACCAATGGTAGCAGTCTACTGGTCTTGCAGTCTTGCTTATGATATGTTTAAATTTCAACATACTGTATCTACAGGTCACATTTTTCTATATTTTTTCCAACGATTATACATCATTGTTTTGTACCGATGGTAGCAGTCCAAGGTTTCATAGTTATTAAACATGTATAAACCTAACAGTCCAGGGACCACCATTTCGTTTCTGAATATCTGGTGAGGAAAATTTTCTTATCATGCAGATTTTTTATGAATTATTTCAAACCTGTAGAACTTTGTCATGTATGACTGTTAATTAACTAGTTGAAGGTATATATATGGTCCATGTTTTACAGATTTCCAGATTGTACACAGGCAAGTTTGGATCAGTGTAAAAGGAGAAAGATTTCACAAGTGAGAAAATGCATACAAGTATACCAGATGAAGAATCATGTCCAGGACATCAACTCTTCTGATAAACTCTAAAGTTGGACGCTGCACAGGCTCTTATTATCATGATCAACTCTATAGGTGGACGCTGTACAAGCTCTTATTATCATGATCAACACTAACAGATTGAGAGCTGCCTGGTCATCAGTTTTTTATCAAGTTTAGTTCAGTAACACAGGTCAATATTAATACATTGGTATTCAAACAAAACAATATTGTGATTCAGAATTCACTTTTGATACATTCACCAAAAATATGAGAAATGGATTTCTTTGTACCTTTTTGTGTTGTTATTTCATTTGGTGTTGGTTGATAATTCAGAAAATGTATATAACATATTGTAGCATTCCAACAAACAAAGTAATAGCTATAGAACAATATACAGATCATAAAACAGTATTGTGTCTATAGGATCTGACCTTAGACATGTTCTCTATATTGATATTAATAAATATTATGTTTTCATAAAAATCACAGTTCACAATTTCAAGATTCATTTATTATTTGACATTTGATAGCCACCTTACTAGAAATGAGAGAACAGACCCCTGTGTACAATTCAGTGTTTTTTCCTGGCTGTTTTGGGAACTTTTCTATTCTGAATGTGGGAAACTTGAGGTGTTGTAAAATTATTTTTGGTCAGCAATATCTGTAAAAGCACAGATTTTTTTACAAGTATGATATAATTAACAAATAGTTATATAAATATATAAACAGAGTAGTAAAATTAGGTATGTAAAGCAAATGGAATCCGAATGGAGGGAAATGAGTATCTAATTAAGAATCAACCTGTTAACAAAACAAGAAGCGATTGTAAAGTGTGTAATCATTTAAATAAATCTATGAATAAAACAGAATTTAAAATTAGACTCATAACCTGATAAGGTAAATGTAACTCTGAACTAGGACAAGGGGACTCTCAGAGATTTTTTTTTTTTTAAGTTGTTACTATGAACAAATTTTGCATATATATATATGAAGTCTTTCTGTTCGGTTTTTGCTAATCACTAAAATTTGTTTCAATACTTTCAATTCAGAAAAATGGCTTACGAGTTCCAATCTTTGTATTAGGATTACATGTATCAGTTTATTGTCAGAGTCAATCAGTAAAATCAGACTGACAGTGACACTATTCATTTTCGTGAATTTTACCGACATCCCTGGCACCAACATCACCATAAAAGCAGAACAGACATAGGTCATGATTTGCCAGATTTATACAACATGTATACTGTACTTGTTATTCATCAGGTTTCATGCATGACATTGGTTACATTTTGGGAGTTTTAGACTTGATTTGGGGAAAACATTGTACATGTATCAGGTCTATTTTCTCTTCAACTAAAATGTGAGAAATTTCTGGAACTTTTTGTGTATGAAAGTCTATAAAGTAAGATCTGAAGTTCACTGTAAAGTAGAAACTTACAAGTAAAAACAAGTTGATAAATCAATTATCACTCAATGCAGATCTCAACAGGTAATTAGGGTCACATATTCCCTCAATTTTCTAATGTAACAATCGTCTGCTGGATACCCGAACCACTCGGTAGTGAAGCGGACGTAAAACCTATCAATCAATCTAATATAACAGAGGACATTATATTTCAATGCCTCCGCTAGGAATCGAACCGGTACCAGGGTCCGACCTCTGGCTTACTATAGGTATATATATATAATAGTCTTACGCTCTACAGTACCAAATGACCGTAGGAAAATTTTCCCAACCTGAGCTGAACGTGGGCGCTAATGTAACAGCGGTTAATATTTATTTAAACGCCTCCCCTAGGAGTCTTACCCAGGACCTCTGTCTTACTAGCCTTAAACTCTACCAAATTAGCTAAAGAAAAATTCTCCCTAGCTGAGTCGGTAGGAAGCAGCTAGTATTTTACCAGGGTGATGATCACTTTAATCAAAAATTGTTGTATCAATTGTTTATAAAACAACTTTGGTTGAACAGTTTTTCAAGTGTTGACATTTTAGTGATGTCTAATTAATGAACGATATATAACGAGATTTACAATCTTAAAAGTAAAATACAAAATTATGATTTTTCATGTAGCAAACCTGGAAGACAATTGCAACCTCAGGAAGCCAAGGGAATTCCCAACCTACTCAATAATCTCATAAAGATGAATAATTGTCCAACATATCATGTTTAAATCCTTAATACATTTAGGTGCTACTAGGAGTCGTGTATTATTAAAAAAAAATCAAATAATAATATTCAATTTGCAGGACTGTTTTTCAACTGATGAAGAAAAACTAGAAGAGAAGAATGTTTACGTTTTTTAGTTATGACGTCATTCCAACATGGTCAAAGGATGCGGACTCCTAAGTTTCCAAAAGAAATTATAGATCAAAGTTAAATATATATGAGCGAACACTGTAGTAGGGGCAACCACTGAATAGCTGACAATTATAGATACGTGTTACTGTAGTCAATTCGTATTATCTTAGCAGTAAACTATTGAATTTCAAATGTCCCCGCTTTTGATGAACCATGGACTTCTGGTTTGCCATATTTCTAATTATATAACGATTAAACCACGATACATTTTACAATACTCAAAATAATAAAACACACAGACGCTCCCACTGGGGTACATACCACGTCATTACAGGTAAAGAAACAAACCATATGACAGCCCGGAGCCATCAGTGATTCAGACGAAGTCAAAAACACCCATCAAACAAAAGTTTGTAAAAGTTGTTTCGGAGAGGTTATAAGACTTAATATTAAGGTACATATATGAATTTTGGTTTTCAGAAATGTCCGTACACGTTTTAAAAACCCACCTGAGCCAAACGTGTATTTAAATCCCAGTTACATACTCAAATTACATTTTCCCTCTCTCGGTCCCATCCTCTGCACAATAACAACACGTACTTTTGTTACAAGATTTCTTTTGAAGGGGAGTAACTCGTGGATAATAGCAAAATATTTCATAGAGGTATTTCCCCTGAATTCTTATTGAATGTTCAATAATGAGCAATGCAAATAAACAGTTTTTACAAAATATATTCAATCGATAGTCAATAAATATCGAAACCAGGTATAGAGAATGTGTAAACCTGCTAGAACTGAATATTTTAATAATAAGATTGTAGAAAACAGTAAAAATCCGAAGGAGCTGTGGAAACAATTTGAAAATTTGGGTTATCAACAAAACACCAAATCAGAATCAAAGGTAGTCTTGAACATAAATTATGAAAAGTGCCGTGATGGTCGCAAACCAATGGCAAACCATTTTAACAAGTTCTTTACTAGCATAGCGGCCAAACTTGTTAAAAAACTACCAAATGCAAAAGGTACATTTTAGATTTATAAAATAGTGTAAAACAATTTTACAAATGTAGAAGTGATAAAAAGTTACATTTAACCCATGTAAGCGAAGAGTTTGTATATAAGGAACTATGTAAACTTAATATATCTAAGAGTACGGGCCTTGATGTCATACCAGGTAGATTCTTAAAGGATGCTGCCTCTGTCATTAAAATGCCTATTACTTTTTTTAATCAATTTGTCTATTTCTGAGGGTCAGATTACTGATGACTTAAAAATGACCAAAGTTAAACCTCTTTTTAAGAAAAAATAGTAGTCTAGGTGCTGAAAATTAGAGACCTGTAAGCATTCTCAGTATCGTATCTAAAATTCTAGAACGAGCGGTGTATAATCAGCTCGAATCTTTCCTTGTTAAAAATAATTTACTATATGAGCTACAGTCAGGTTTTAGAAGCACATACTCTGACTTGTGTTTAATACATCTTACCGATCATATTTTACACAAAGACCCTAGGGTTATATCCAGAAAACTATTATCAGTGCTGGAATCTTATCATGACTGGCTATAGTCGATAATAAGTTATTGTTACATATTGGAAAAACTGAGAGTATTATTTTTTGTCCAAAGAGTAAAATAAAAAAAGATTTATGGTGAAGAGAGTTTTACAGTAAGCTGTAATAATCATACTATTTCAGTTACATCATGTGTAAAATATCTTGGTAAATATATTAACAACTTGTTATCTGGTGAAGAGATTGTTGATTCCATAATTAAAATGGTTAATCAGAGATTAAAATTTCTGTATAGGAATAGTAGTTGTTTGTCTTTCGAATCCAGGAAGACCTTGTGCTCTGCGCTTATTCTATGTCACTTTGACTATGCAAGTGCTAGCTTGTATGAAGGACTGTCAAAAAAAAATAAAAAAAATCTACAAGTGGCACAAAACAAGGTGATAAGATTTGTATTAAATGTACACAATAGACACAGTTTGTCATACCAAGATTTTAGTTGTGTAAACATGCTGGATGTCAATACCAGGGCAAGGCAACTTAGACTTAACCATATGTTCAATATTTTCCATCGAAAAGCTCCTCAATATATGTATCAATTTTTTAACAGGAATCCATGTCCGTATATTACTCGCTCAAATCTATGTAATTTTATTGTTCTTAATTTAAAAGGTTCTGAATCTACAACTTTTTTTTATTTTTCGGGTACCAAAGATTGGAATTCACTTCCTGAAAACATCAAAAGTGAAAATAATCAATTCACTTTTAAATGCAAAGTGAAGAGTCATTTACAGAAGCTTATGAAAGGAAAACAAGAAAGTGAATATCTGTACTTTTAATATGATTCTATGTTTTAGATTATTGAATATTTTACTGTATGTTTCACATTCAAATAGAAGAAAGTATTAAGTGTACTTTTAAACTGACCATCATGTTTTAATGGAGTAGCAGTTTATTTTATGAATGATGTCCACAAATGTTCAATTTTAAAATTGAACTTTAGTTTCTTTAAAAGGACCCCTATGGAAATAAGCTTTTAGCTTTTTGGGTTATCCTATAGGAAAAAGGCTGCAACTTCGGTAAAAAATCTAACCTATTGATCTCATATATTAACAAGTGCTCAATGTTGTTATTTAAGGTACAAGTACTGTCGCAAAATTTAATGTTGTACTGTACTCTACTCTGTGATATTTATATGTTGTAATATGCCTATATTTTACCTGAATAAATATTATTAATATTATTATTAAAAATGTTCGTTTTTAAAAAGTATGTTTTAAGTGTGACATGTGAATTTGCATTGTTTAACTAACAATGCTGTCAGATTCAAATTACCTATGTATTTCATGAAGTTTTCATGTAGCGTCGACGTCGATGTAAGCTGATACTGTTCTGTAGTGGTGTCCGGAGTAGCATGTAGTAGTCCGAATTATTCTGACGTTTTACAGACATTTTTCATATCGGTCTGTCGTTAATCGACGACAGACCGATATGAAAAATGTCGAAGCATGTAGGTACACACATCTGGTAATGATGACGCCAATGATTGTTTAGCCGGGATTTAAAACTATTCAGGGAGATGGCCTCTACATAACAATATTTGGGAGAGAGTTCCACTCGTCCACGACCTTACTTCTGTACGGGTTCTTGATTATGTTGAGCCTCATCCTTCTCTTGAAAAGCTTTTTGGAGTTTCCTCTTGTTGTGACCAATGTAGCCATTTCAATAATTTTGTCTTTGTCCAAAACGTCAACGTCATTAAAAGGTAACCCAGTTATTTGTCACGATTAAAATGTATGTTAAACGACTACTTTTAATTTGAGCAATGCATGTTAACCATATAAACACCTTATCGACGAGCAATCGTTTGTTTTACGATAGTATTTGGATATAAGTAATAGATTTTAACAAAAAGTATTTAAGTTCAGTATTCGTATTATGTCAGTTTGTATTTCATCTTTATCATTAATGAAAACAGACACGTTATCAATATGGGGTGTGGTTTTTCAGATTATGGACGTAAAATGACCATTGGTATTCTTATGCAAAAAATTCACCTTGCTTTTTTATAATACAAATCCCTAACATTATTTATCGGCTAAAGCCCTTTACATACATGTAGGAATGTGTGAACATGGAAAGTGTAATGGTGGAGGATGCCAGAGAGGACGTTTATATTGTTTGTTTGTTTATGTTTAACGGCCCATCGACGGCTGTGGTCATTTAGGGCCATGGTGATTTTTTTGATTTTATTTTTAATTTTTTTAACAAACATGTGAGTAGCGAAGATAAAATCAGATAAAATGGTTCATTTTAAAAGCATTCGCATTGTATGTGTAGATAATAAAAAATAAAAAGGGGGTTAAAATAATAAAAGAGATAACGAATAGATGATATGGAATATGTGATATATATATATAGATGTATGATGCCGGAGAGGACGTTTATAAGTTGTAATGGTAGATGATGCCGGAGAGGACGTTTATAAGTTGTAAGAATATATGATGTCGGAGAGGACGTTTATAAGTTGTAATGATGGATGATGCCGATGAGAACGTTAGTAAGTTGTACGAATGTATGATGCCGAAGAGGACGTTTATAAGTTGCAAGAATGTATGATGCCGGAGAGGACGTTTGTTAGTTGTAAGAATGTATGATGCCGGAGAGGACGTTTATAAGTTGTAGAGATGTATGATGTCGCAGAGGACGTTTATAAGTTGTAATGGTGGATGATGCCGGAGAGGACGTTTATAAGTTGTAATGGTGGATGATGCCGGGGAGGACGTTTGTAAGTTGTAAGAATGCATGATGTCGGAGAGGACGTTTATAAGTTTTAATGATGGATGATGCCGATGAGGACGTTAGTAAGTTGTACGAATGTATGATGCCGGGGAGGACGTTTATAAGTTGTAATGGTGGATGATGCCGGAGAGGACGTTTATAAGCTGTAATGGTGGATGATGCCGGGGAGGACGTTTATATGTTGTAATGGTGGATGATGCCGGATAGGACGTTTATAAGTTGCAATGGTGTATGATGCCGATGAGGACGTTAGTAAGTTGTACGAATGTATGATGCCGAGTAGGACGTTTATAAGTTGTAATGGTGGATGATGCCGGAGAGGACGTTTATAAGTTGTAATAAGTTGTACGAATGTATGATGCCGAGTCGGACGTTTATAAGTTGTAATGATGGATGATGCCGAAGAGGACGTTTATAAGTTGTAATGGTGGATGACGCCGGAGAGGACGTTTATAAGCTGTAATGGTAGATGATGCCGGAGAGGACGTTTATAAGTTGTAATGGTGGATGATGCCGGAGAGGACGTTTATAAGTTTTAATGGTGTATGATGCCGGAGATGACGTTTATAAGTTGTAATGATGGATGATGCCGATGAGAACGTTAGTAAGTTGTAATGGTGTATGATGCCGGAGAGGACGTTTATAAGTTGTAGAGATGTATGATGTCGGAGAGGACGTTTATAAGTTGTAATGGTGTATGATGCCGGAGAGGACGTTTATAAGTTGTAATGGTGGATGATGCCGGAGAGGACGTTTATAAGCTGTAATGGTGGATGATGCCGGAGAGGACGTTTATAAGTTGTAATGGTGGATGATGCCGGAGAGGACGTTTGTAAGTTGTAAGAATGTATGATGCCGAAGAGGACGTTTATAAGTTGTAATGGTGTATGATGCCGGATAGGACGTTTATAAGTTGCAATGGTGTATGATGCCGGAGAGGACGTTTATAAATTATAATGGTATATGATGCCGGAGAGGACGTTTATATGTTGTAATGGTGTATTATGCCGGAGAGGACGTTTATAAGTTGTAGAGATGTATGATGTCGGAGAGGACGTTTATAAGTGGTAATGGTGTATGATGTCGGAGAGGACGTTAGTAAGTTGTAATGGTGGATGATGCCGGAGAGGACGTTTATATGTTGTAATGGTGTATGATGTCGGAGAGGACGTTTGTTAGTTGTAAGAATGTATGATGCCGTTGTAAGAATGTATGATGCATGAGAGGACGTTTGTAAGTTGTAATGGTGTATGATGGCGGAGAGGACGTTTATATGTTGTAATGGTGTATTAT